CACTTTCCAGGGATTACGATGATTTATATCAGAGGCTGACATTCTATGGCCCACTACCTATTTTGGTAAATAGTTTTATTGGAACCAGGACATGTTCATTTGTTTACATATTGTCCGTGGCTGCTTTTGTGCTATGGTGGCAGAGTTGAGTAGTTGCAACGTAGACTGTTTGGCCTGAAAAGCTTTAAATATTTATCTGGTCTTTCACAGAAAAAGTTTGCCCATCCCTGATTTAAACAGCTTAAAAACTTACTTCTCCAACTGGAAATCTGAAGTACTTTCCCAGATAACACCAATATGTAAAATGAAAGAGCAGCTGTAAGGAGCTATCAGCCTACCAAGAATATCACCAACTGTGATCTTCATCCTTTGTCAGTCTATTTTTTTTTTAGTTGGTGTCTACTTAAAATACTCTGGAGAGAGATTGATAGATAGGTAGATGGCTTTTTAAAATTGTAATTAGTTATTTCAGTTGTCTTTTATTATAGCTTTTATAGTTAGGGGATAGTGATCTTACAGTGTACTGAGCTTGTTTAAGCTATTTCTGTGTCATTTTTACAACCATTGTGTGTTTCTTCACTGTGTTATTTTCATGTTAAGATTATCTCTGTGTTTCTTTTACTTACAGTACAAGTTTCCTGATTAAGTAATTTGTAATAGATCCACTATCTACTATTATTTTCTCCAGTGTCAGCTTGCTTCATTTCTGTGTTGGTTTATGTCTACCCATAATAAAAAGTATTTAAGACAGATGTTAATTTTAAAATTCTAAGTTGGCTATTTAGAGAATTGAGTGGTTACTTGAAAGTTATACTTACATTCGTCATCTTTCACTTATAGTTTAGCTCGATCCTTCTCAGATTTCATCATTTTAAATTATAAGTTACTGAAGTTCTTTCCATGTTAAACTCATTTTCTTTCTTTGAAGAATAAGCAATTTTCTCTTTGTTATAAACTGTGTTTTTAGTGCATTGACACTAGTCAGTGTAAGTTCTACCTATAACCTTGAAATTATTTTTAAAGTAGAAAGTGTTGGATCAGTGGTAAAATAGTTCTGTATGTCTCACATCTCTATTACCCCTACCACATTTTTATTAGTTTCTGAAGTATTATGTAATATATTTTTTAAGGGGTGTTTGTGTCACTCAGATGTACATAAAATCTACATTTCATATAGGGTTATCTTTCCCCCCACCCCTGCCCCTTTGGTTAGCTAACTTTTAACTTATCTTCTTGGGTATTAGCTTAAATATACAGTTTTAGGGCAAACAAAAGCAAACACTTTCATCTTCTATGACTTTTATCATTTTCTAAAAATTGCTTAGGAATCTTAGTTTATATTGTGAATGAAAGACTCGAAGCATTGCTATTATAGAATTTGTGAGAGGAAGTCTGGACTTAATTTCAGCTATAGGTGCCTTTGAGCCTTCATATCTCAATACCTCGTTGAATTAACTGTAATGTGGCAAGCTAGTGACAGCCAAGAGCCGGTACTCAGATGTATAAACAAATACAAAAAGAATTTATCTGTTTTCTTCCCCTATTTAGAGAGATCAGATGCCATGAAATATGAGAAATACAATACCTCACTGATTAGTACAACACCATAAAAATTGTAATAAAGACATACCTCAAAAAGTAGAGATGTTTCCTTAACAGTATTTTGGGCCAAGAAATTGTTTTATTTCCATGTATATTGTACGGAAACTAAATGGGAAACGGTCCCATTTTAAAATGACCTTTTATTGTCCCCTCCTTTGGTCTCCCAGCCGTGGAAGTTATCCTACCTATCTGTTGCCTCAGGTGCTGAACACTGCAGGCTGCAACTGCACAATAATCAAATTAATAAAACTTCAGATGTAAATTTCTTACACAGGATTTTCAGTGCCACCTGGCAGGCTTCTGTGTCACTGATCAGTTGTTTCCTGTTCCTTACAGCAGATATTTAGCACATTTATTCCTTCAACAGATATTTCTTCCACTCCTACTCTGTGCCAGGCATTGTTCTAAGTTCTGAGGATAGACACAGAACTGAACAATAAAGATGGAAAAAAACCTGCCTGAATTCATGGACGGTACCTTCCAGCAAAATGCTAACCTCTGCATAAGGGGTGGCTGAATGTGGGCAGTTACTGTTGTTGGTGGGGTGACTATTATCTCATTGCCTGAAACAGCCCCAGTGTAACTAACACCTGTTGCGGGGCTTGAGTAGTGCCCCCTCTTTCACTTTCAAGGCAGTCCCAGGTTAAACAGAAAGTCATATGACCACTCTAGTTTTAAACCTTTTCCATCTGTTAATTCATTTAATCCTCATAATAATCCCATGAGGTGTATACAATTATTAACATCATTATGTAGGTATGGAAACCGAAGCATAGAGAAGTTGAGTAATTTACCCTTGGTCATACTAGTAAGTGGCAGAACCAGAATTCAAATCCCCAGACAGCCTGGCTCTACAGTTTGTGCTCTGAGTCGCTATGCTATTCTACCCCTAGGCTGCTATTACAGATCTTTACTGTCTTACTCTGCCTGTCCTTTCACTCCACAGCAGAGTAAAGAGAGTAGATAATCTCATCTCCTTCACGGATAAACTTGTGCTTCTCCAGTAAACTTCCTCATCTTGACACTCCCTCCTTTACAAATCTGTCTGCATTTCTACCCAGCCTCACTCCATCCCTCCATTTCAAAGAAGGGACATCTCTCTTCCTGTCTTAAACTTTTAATCTAGCCTCATCCCATCCACCTCCTGGATGACTTTGTTTTCTAAATTATTCTCTTTTTCTTGGGCTTTCAGTCTCCATCTTGCCATTAGCTTTTCCCATTCAATGTGTAGGTATGATTGATTAGTTGTTGTTGAAAGTGTATCACTCTTTCAAGAAGATTTACTGTTGGGAAAAGTTTTTTAAAGTATATTAATAATATAATGATGATAAATAGCTACCAATTATTTATTACCCTGTTTAAGTTCCAGGTATTGTGTATATCTCTGATCCTTTCACCAACCCAACAAATACTTTACAGATGAAGTATACACAATTCTATCGTAGAATTCTCTGCTGAGCTTCAGACCTATATATCCAATTGCCTGTTAGACGTCTCCACTGGATGTTGCACAGACATCTCAAACTTTGCTTGTCTAAAACTGAAATCCTATTCTTCCCCTTCTCAAACTGGCTTTTGCATCTCTTCTATACTCCATCTTAGTTTGTGGTACCCTCTCCACCCAGTTACCCAGAGCGGAATCCTCAACTGCTCCCTTACATTTACCATTTAAAACTTTCTCATCTCCGTCTCTATCTCAGCCAAGAGAGCTCAACCCTCATTTTCTGTCATCTGGAATCTCGTGGTCTTTTCTCCTCCTGTCAGTCTATTTCCAACCCTCTCCACTGCTGCCAAAGTGATATTTTTAAAATGCAAACCTATTTAATCATGTTTAAATTCCTCCAGTAGCTTCTGGTTGCCCACAGAATTAAGGTAGGATTCTTCAGCAGGCATACAAGGCCCTCCTGGCTAGACCTTTCCTACTCTCTCTCTCCCACTGCGCCTCGCTCACTCATCCTACTTTCAGGCTATACTGAAGTATTTGTAGAGCCCAGACTTGCCATGTCCTGTGCTGCTGTTTCTTCTGCCTGGCATGTGCACTACCTCTGTCAGTTCCTCCCCCCACTACCCCGGCCTGGGCATCTAGAAGAATTATTTCGGTACTCAATTCAGTCTTCTTTGAATAACCTTCCTTGATTCCACAGATTTGACCATGCCTCATCTCTGACATCATTATACATTTGTCTTCAGCTCTACTGTAGCACTTTTTACTGTATTTTTTGTTTGTTTGTTTATCTGAGTGCCACTTTTCAATGGGCTGTGAACTCTTCAAGCATTTCTGCTGCCTGGCATATAATGTTAATAGGCTCTCATCAGATGTGTGGTGGCAATGGAGATAATGATCTTGGAGTGGATCACAGTTTATTTAAATAAAGCTTGCCTTCCGTATTGAGCGTTGGGCTGGGACACATACGGGGAGAACGGAAGTCATTCTTTTATCCTCCTTCACCCCTTCTAGAGGCTGCTGCTCCAGCCTTTAGTGCCTGATTTCTCTTGATGTATACTTTTTATGATGTTTTTATACCTATTCTCGGCCTTCACTTTGCTTTTGATTTATTTTGCTTGTATCCTTCGAGCAGTTAGGAAGGAAGCTGTTCAATTACTATTACAAATTTCCACTCTTCCATTTTCATTCCATCACATGAGAAATCATACATCAGCTTGTTCCCATGTGATTCTTGTGTGCAAAAGAAATCTTCTCAGACAGTAATAAGAATTCGGGTTATAATAACAATATCTTTTCAACAGTTTTTCAACCTCCTATGTCCCCCAAATGTCTCCATGCATTTAATGTCAAATTAAAAACTGAACCAGTTCTTTATTAATCCTGAGAGAAGAAATAATGGTTTTTAACAACTGTTAAAGGAATAATGAAGACTTCTTGGGTTTTTAACATGAAAATTTCAGATGACCAAGGGTTTTGCTAGATACACTGGAGTCAAAGGATAGTACAATGGTCAGCATCTCAATTTAGACTTATGTATTACTCTAAATACACTCATAGAAGCTACTTGTGGTGTAACTCCTTATGTATTTAAATTTATCTGACTCTTGGTTTCTTGATTTATTTTTTAAATGGGTGAAGAATCTACTTTTTGAATTCTTTGCCCTTTATGGAATGTGATATCTTGGTTTTGATTCCATTTATCCCTTCCCCTTTACTTAATTTAATTGTATTGTTTTGCATTGTGTTTCTAAAATAATGGCTTTGGCTTATTTTTTCCTGAGTGTTTCTGCAGTTTGGTTTGAGTATCTGGCTTTGGGCACCCCTCCTGAACTTGGACTCCATTTGTATTTGTGACTTTTGGAAGGCAAAAGTCAGTGTTTTCTATGGAAGATGACTCTGTTTTTAATATTATTTGTGTCTCCTCCCCTTCCTTTTTGGTTTCTCTTAAAAGACTGGAAAGAAAGCAGTTAAGGCAGTCCTGTGGGTATCAGCAGATGGCCTCAGAGTTGTGGATGAAAAAACTAAGGTAAAACTTTTATAAGCTTTGATGTTACTGCTCATATTTTTTTTAACCCCTAATGATCAAATGTAATGCCATTCAGCTGTTACAGTTATTCTAAATCCTTCTACTTTGTCCAAAGTGCAGTCTTCTGAGAGACTAGTTAACTCAGGAAACCAATTTAGTTACTCATTTACCTTATGAAAAATAGAATTCTCTCAACATTTTGTTCTACATGACAGCTTGTTTAGCCTGCTAAGCATTTTCATTTAATGTTAAAATCTGAGTTCTATTTTTGTTGTTACACATTTTTAAAAAATATTTACCCTCACAGATTTGATGTAAAAGATGATGGACCTTTTACTACAGTTAAAAAATATATATATTTTTAAGGGATAGACCACATCTGAAATTTCTTCTTTCTTAATAGAACACTGTATTTTTAGAAAGTGATATTTTAAGTTTGAAAAATCTTAAGTCCTTAAGTAAAATCTTAAGGACTAGTAAATGACTCCTTCGGTTAACATTTACTTAGAATTCGCACAATAGCCCAAATCATAGGTAGTATTTTGCATTTGAAAGAAAATGATGCCTGAATAAGAATAGAGACAGACTTTTCCCTTAGAGAGCATGTGGTGTTATATAAGTACATTTAATCATTAATTTAAATTTCCTAAGAGACCTAAATTGAACAAGAAGACAGTTTAAAAAAAAAAACACCTCAAATGTCACTGGACCTGGGAGAAAGTCTGGCAGGTAAAGAGCCGTTTGATGGGTAACTCGCCTAATGTATTTTAAGTGATTTAATACACCTGCGTTTTAGTTCTTTCGATCTTCCATCAAAGGCTTTTTCTTTAAGTTCAAGAGAAATGGTAGTCTTAAATATATGTTACTCTTGGAAAAAAATGATCGTTTTAGTTAGCTTATTTTTAAGAACTTGTGCAGTTTTCATTAGTGTTTTGGGTGAAATTTGTTGTGCTTGGAGGCCGTTTTCCGTTGTTTTATACAATAGTGAGAAAGTGATGTTGCCTCCTGGTGGCTACTTATAGCGTTGACATTAATTAGTTCTTTCCATAGAGTGATGATAGTAATGGTGGATTACCACTCTTGGACCCAACGTGAGTGGAAAAGAAATTTTGCGATATATATAATCTATGAAGGGCTCATATTTAGAAAATAGAAATAACTCCCGCATATCAGTAAGAAAAATGACAGACAATCCAAAAGACTTGAAGAATTACTTTGCTGAAGAGGAAACTTATAGTAATCAAGGTTATGCAAAATAAAATCACAATGAGCCACCAGAATTGCAGATTTTTAAAAAATTGACTGGCAAGTTTGTGGAGCAACAGGAATTCTCAGTGAGGCTGTATAAAAGCCATTTTGTTTGTATGTTTTAGCTCTTATAGCCCCCACCTTAGCATCTAGGGATTCTAAGCCATGAGGATATCACACAGAAGAGCCTCAGAGCCTCAAAACTTTTAAAAACATTTTGTGTAACGTTTATACTCTGTATACTAGGCCATTCAGCAAGTATATAAACAGAAAATCATACTTAAATGACCAATAAGTTAATAAATACATAGAACTGTTCTGAGAATGAATGATGTCATTAAATATGTTACATGGAAATTGGATTAAATATATCGATTTATATATGTCGCAAATTGAACATGGAATATACCATAATAAAACTAGAATCAGCAAGCATATGTTTTAGACCATGAAAATGAGGTAAAGGAGGGCAAAGTGCCTTTTGAGATCTCTCCTAGGTCAAATTCTTAGTATTCAGACTGCTGGCCTCAGACCCAGCTATTCCATAGCCTCATGCCTTATATGTAGGGATTCTGTATTAAGAAATGCATATCCTGTGTTCATTCTGAGAAGCTTGAATAATCTCATAAGTTCTCTCTTCCATTATTCTTCCCTTTTTCTAGGACCTCATAGTTGACCAGACAATAGAAAAAGTTTCTTTCTGTGCCCCAGATAGGAACTTTGATAGAGCCTTCTCTTACATATGTCGTGATGGCACCACTCGGCGCTGGATCTGTCATTGCTTCATGGCTGTCAAGGACACGGTGAGTTCAACATGGATTTCATCATGACTAGTCTCAGTTAGCCAGGCACCTTCCAGGTTGGTTCAGTCAAGCAATTCCCACTACATTTTTGACAAGTACATGCTGTTACAGTACTTGGAAGTGCCTAAACTAGTCTGCTTTCACTCCTTTTATTCAAGTAGTTCACACTCTTGGTGTGATCTCCCAACTCATGGAGCAAGATGATTAGCTGAGAGCCAAGGTCATTAAAGGAAAGTAAAAGTGTTCCCGGTGAGGGTGGCTGCTAAACTTTATTCAAAACTTCATTGTTAGAACTATTTTCAAGATTCTTACATGTATTTGTTTGCTAATACATCTGGCTAGAAGATATTGGCATTTGAAAGGTGCTTATGAATTTATTTGCATAGAAGCTGTACTACAAATTAAAGAACTGAGTTAGAGTACATTTTCAGTTAATTAAAGTAGAAATACTAAATTACGGTATAATGAACTATGCTAGAAAATGTCGCATAGTAGAAATTTGTATTTGTTTACAAATAGAGAATAACCTGTCATCCTTCATGTAAGTTACCCAAAATTCTGACATGAAAGACAGGTCTCCTACATGATGATGATGACCTTAACTATATTATTGTATAGCACTGAGTGTATGATTTATGAATTTTTAAAAGCCCAGACAGAATAAGGCACTGTAGCCATTCATGAAGGCTACAACTCAGTAAACTCTTGCCAAGGTTGAAGGGAAGTGGTTGCTTTACTCTATTAAGAACTCAGACTCTGAAACAGATCTGGATTCCAGACCCGACTTTGGTTCTCACCTTGCTGTGGCAAGTTACTTAACATTCTCTAAGTCTCAGTATCCACATCTATAAGATGGAGGTAACAGTTGTGAAGACTTAGAAAACAAATATAAGCACTGTTAGCATTGGGTCTGGCCCATGGTAACTTCTAAAAATGGTGGCTAATATTGTTAGAACTGTTCCTCCAGCTGGGTCTGTCTTCAAGAACTTCTGCCCTAGAGCTAGGAGAAATAATAAGCTTCCTTGGCCTCTAGCTTTGTCCTTGTAGAACTGTAGAACTTGTATGCAAATGCAAACAGGTCGTAAGATTCTTTCGATACTTTTATTTCATGCTTTAATACCTACCCTTGTATCATCCTACTAAGAAATTAGATAGCAACTCATGTAGATTATAAAGAGTGAGTCTATCAGTCTTTAAGCAGTCATTGTGAAACCTTATAGTTTATAGTTACGTGAAATCTTAGGGACAAAAACCATTTCAGACATTACTTCTCCTTATGGTATCTGATATTGGCATATAAAATCCAGTGAAATTACTTGCTCCGAGCCATATGTAGGAGCAGGTGCCTACATTGTGTGATTTTGAAAACTCCTCAAAGGGCTCCCTGTTCTCAAATATCTCTTCTCACTATTAATAATGCCAGCAGTTACTATATCACCTCTAACTTTCTTTATTCCACAATGAGGGATATGGTTTAAAATACAGATTTTGAAATATCAATGAAATATTACACAGCAGTAAAAAAGAATGAAATCTTATCATTTGTGACAACGTAGATGGACCTAGAGAGTATTATGCTAAGTGAAATAAGTCAGACAGAGGAAAGCAAATACCATGTGGTTTCACTTACTCTTAAAAAAATTGAACTCTTAAAAAAATTGAACAAAGAAAACAAAATAAAAACAGACTCTTAGAAACAGAGACCAAAGAGATGTTTGGATGGGGGAGGGGGATGGGGCAATGGGTGAAAAGGTGAAGGGGAATATAATCAGTAGTATTGTGATAAGTTTGCACAGTGACAGGTGATTACTAGAATTAGAGAGGTGGTCACGATGTAAGGTATAAAAATGTCGAATCACTATATTGTATACCTGAAACTAATATAACTAATATAACATTATATACCAACTATACTTAAATTTAATAAATAAAATGAGCAATGAATATGAAAAATAAAAGTAAAGAAAAATAAAGAAAATACAAATAACTCTGGTAAAAAATAATCCATTAAATTTATTAAATTTAGGTAATTCAGTGTATCTTTAAAACAATATTTAGTTTATATAAGCTTTCCTTTCCTCCCACAAACAAGTCAGTTTTATCTGTTTAATTCCTTTATAAGTAGAGTGTAGATGAAAACATGCTTTAACTCCTGCCTTTGTGTAGCCTTGGGCTTAGAGCCAGAAGAATCTGAGGAAGGTGTAGGGCAAAGCCTAAAAGCCCTGAAGGCCTGGAATGGGGAAGGGTGTGTGGGGGTTGGGCGTTCAGAAAGGAGAGACCAAAAGCTAAGCTTTCCGTTGCCTGGTTCCCTTCTCATCGCCGGAGCTGTGTTTATTCAGTATTAAGTTTGCTCCTTTTGTTCTTACACATGTTAACAGTATATTTAAGCTCCTGAAATTTGCCTTGCCTTTCCAGTGGTTTCTTAGAAATGCTTGGTAAATATTCCCACGATTCCCCTAAATGGCAAATAGAGGTTTACATTTCAAGACCTTGGAACCTTCAGCAGTGTCTCCTAAGCTGCTGGCCAGAGCTAACATGAGTGACAGAGGGAACCTGACTAGTAAGAAGCGGCTGCTCACAGAAGCACAGATTGCTGATGTTCGTTCACTCAGTCAGTGCCTGCCAAAGTAAAGTATCACGAGCATCACCTAGGGTAATTCATTCATTTAAATTAATTTGGCATATTAATATATTGAAATCTAGTTTACGCTGGAGTTCCCAACATTTTGCCTTGTGTAAAAACAGACTTATTTGTGGTTCAAGCTGATTTGTAATGGTTGGTACTGTATCTCTAAAAACGTTTTGTGAATCGTCTGTTACGTGCAGGGTGAAAGATTGAGCCACGCAGTAGGCTGTGCTTTTGCGGCCTGTTTGGAACGTAAGCAGAAGCGGGAGAAGGAATGTGGAGTGACTGCTACTTTTGATGCCAGCCGGACCACTTTTACAAGAGAAGGATCATTCCGTGTCACAACAGCCACTGAGCAAGCAGAAAGAGAGGAGATTATGAAACAAATTCAAGATGCGAAGAAAGGTACAATCTGTTCTACAGTGTGTGCTTATTTAAGTAGTTTTCCCCAACCAGTTAATATTTCGAAGCTGTCGGGGCTAAGCTGTCTCACAGTCAAAGAGCATATGAAGTATACTCTTAGCAGTATATGAAGACCTTAAGCACAAAGCTGAAAGTCTAAACAAAGTCCTTTCTTTAGAGTGTCTTGTTTAGTGGCTTCAAAACTGTTTACCGTTTTTATTACATTAAACTATCCCAGGAAGCTGAGAGTACAGTAGAATAAGCTGCAAAGACATTCCCCTACCCTTACCCGCCCCCTATCTTTAAAAACAAAATTGGGAAAATCTAAATCCCTGAGCAGATTTTTAATTCTAATACATCCGATCTCAGAAGGATCTACATCTTGAAGAAGTACAAGGGGTCAAACATTTGGTGATGGAAGGAAATCTAACCTTGGGTGGTGAACACACAATGCAATCAATATACATGACATATTGTTGAATTATACACTTGAAACATTTAATTTTATTAATCAGTGTCCCCAATAATTTTAATTAAAAATAAAAAAGGAAGAAGTACAGGTTTAGGCTGCAAAGGATTCACTGACGGTAATGCTGGGTACAAATTCAGGCATAGATTTCACAGTGATACCATACTTATGAGGTTATTACTGTTTTTTAGCGTTTTAGTTTAAAAAAGTCCATAGATTTTGAGAAGCTAGCCCCTAACTCTTTTTCCCGTAGCCTTGTTAATTTTAGTGTGTGATTTTTGCAGAATGAGAGTTTTCAAGTACACATGGCAGCATAGCAAAAATGCCTTTACAAGCATTCAAGTTACTCAGGAGTTTATCGCCTAAAGTTGGGTTGGGTGTATTTTAGAACTAAGTGATAGGGCTCGGGGGAAATGCTTTGCATTCTTGTGTACAGCTGGGATTGAAACCAACAAGGAATATTTTGAAATTAAACAGTTCGGTTTAAATATCCTTTAATATAATTTTGCTAACTTTTTACTATATCCTTTTAGTTCTGAACCAGCCATTTTGGGTGATATCATTAATCTAATATTGAACCCAAACAGCTCTAATTCTTAAGCCCTCTCCCCCCAAAAAGATACATATTTTTATTGGTAATTAAATTATCGGTTGTGATTTCTTTCATTTCTTATAAACATTTGTGCCATGATACCAAAGAATAAAAAACACTATGCTATTTTTATTAGAAAATCTAATATGTACAGCTATTAGTTTGCTTCAGTGATTTTGTGACTGGAAGCATCGTCTTTAATACTCTGCATCGCACATGGCACCTGCCAAAGTGGCCAGTCCCAGGGATGACAGGATTGTGAAGGGTGGGGGTGGAGATTTGCCATGATCAAGATGGGCCTCAGCTGGTACTCACATGGGAACAGTCCTATATTTAGATTTATTCCAATTTAAAACTTTACTTCTAAATGCTTTTATTCAAATGAGCCACAAAAGCATTTAGCCTTTATGACATTCTCTACTGTCTAATCAAACGTATGCTTATTTAGACCTTTCTGACTCTGCCACTCCCAGAGTCCTCTCCCACAAACAAATAAGCAGGCAAACATTGAAAGCCATAAACATCATTCTTTAAAGGACCTCACATTAGGAGTTCATAGGTACTGTTTTTTCATTCTCGTTCAAAGTCTTAAGTTATGAATCACTGCATGAGAATCAAAGATCTAATATTTGTGTCTTAGTAGATGTACCACGTGACATGTAATGGGTTATTAAACCTTTCATTTGTTTGCAAAATAGGAGATCTGAGCCCTGCTCCTAACCTGTCTTTTAAGAGACGGTGGGAAGGAGATGGGTAAAAGGACCCAGGACGGTTTTTGAGTTCCTCAGCTGCATAAGCTCCAGTTAGTTGAAGACTTGCTAAAGTCCTCTTTCTCTTGACTTTCTTGAGCTGAAACAGATAAGACAGTTGCTGGTTCATCAGCGGCCCCGGGCCACTCCGCCCCGCCCTCCTCCTCCCCCACCTCTCCCACCTCGGATGCTGCTGGCTCCCTGGAGGTGAGCAACCCTCACGCCATCCCGCGCAGGCACGCGCCCATCGAGCAGCTTGCTCGCCAAGGCTCTTTCCGAGGATTTCCTGCTCTCAGCCAGAAGATGTCACCCTTCAAGCGCCAGCTGTCCCTGCGCATCAATGAGTTGCCTTCCACTATGCAGAGGAAGACTGATTTCCCCATAAAAAATGCAGGTAACGCAGCATTCACCTGACTGCCTGGGTGCTCTTGCCACGGACACATTATGTCACTTCCAGTGGCGACACGGATCCCATCAAACTAGCCACCCCTTGCTCTCAGGCCAGTCGATGATTATATATCTCTTGTATCGTTTCCCATTGGGAAAGAACTGAGGGTCACGGAGGGAGATGTGAATCATTCATTTCTCTTCAACAGACAGGTAACAGAGCCATGATGGGAATTCCTAGCCTGAGTACAAGGTCTGTCCTGAAGGAAATATACTTACTACCTCTCAGCCAACCTGCTTCCAAACATCAAGGGTCTCAGGTTTCCATTCTTACTGGGCCTTTCGGGACCCAGCAGGGAATTAACTTAAAAGGCTTTGGGAACACATCCAGTTAAAGAGCATTACTGTCAGGTGTACCAAGAGAAGTGGATAAGTGCTCATTGTCTGTGTGGCTGGTTGTCTCCATAGGGAGGAAACTCTAAACGGGCCTCCTGTATAAATCTAAGATCTTTTGTTCATCAGAGACAGTGGGCTTGCTCACACATATCCATTACCTTTCAGAACTGCCACACAGCCCTTTGTGTGGCCTCCCTGCAGCCGAGCCAGCTCCAGTTAGCTCTGTCCTCATCATAAGATCCAGAGCTAAAGTGTCAGATCTGGTCAGGGCTTTTATGGGGCTTTATTTTACTTCACTCTGCGGCATTTCCAGCCAGTGCTACAGCAGAGCATGAGGAGGCTTGGTCTCAGCAAGGCCCTCTCACTGCGGTGGTGTAAAAGTACAGAGAATTACGTTCTCTGGACAGATGAGGCTAGGCCTAAAGAACAGTAGGACTAGGTCATTCCCGAGGGTCTTTCTAGCTCTCAACTCCTAGAAACACAGAAACTCCAGATGCTTCCAATACCTGTTTTCAGTCTCCTTCTGGAGCAGATGGGAAACAAAAACTATTCTCTTTTTACAGTTGAGCAAACAAAGGTTCAGGACACAGAATTAGCTTCCTAGTGAGACAGAATTACCCCAGAGTCAGTGTGAAGAACAAAGCCTCGTGAGTGCTGCACCTCAGCTGACTTTTTCATGGTAGCACACTTCATGTACTTGGAACTTTGGAGGAAGACGATAGTGGTGACCTTGTCATAGCTTATTATAGAAAAAAGAACTGAGCATCCACTGGTGCCCCTGACTTTAACGCGTTTTCTGAGAGAGTTACTAAATAGCTCCAGAACTTAACTCAGACCACAGCCTTGGGAACTGGTGGAACACAAGCAGTTGCAGATGTCCTTCCGAAAAATCTAGCTAACTGAGCATCTTGGCACAAAAAGGGAACACCACGATCTCAAATAGTGTCACACAAGAGAGGAAATAAATCTGGGGTTTGTGCGGGAGGAAGATATAGATAGACCTTATTAGTACATGAGTTGTTGATGTTTTATACCCTCTCATCTGAAAAGCCAATGAAATAGTGGTCAGTAAATTTTTTGGAGCTGCTTTTATAGCCCTACCTAACAGTGGAGACTTTTCCTTCCACAAATAAGGGATGCTGCATAAAATGCCACCTTGTGTCATACTCTTATATTTCAGGATTATTCAGTTTTTCTGTCTGGAGCCAGTTTCTGTTTGTCTTGCAGTGCCAGAGGTAGAAGGGGAAGCAGAGAGTATCAGCTCCCTGTGCTCACAGATCACCAATGCCTTCAGCACGCCCTCCGAGGATCCCTTCTCATCCGCCCCAATGACCAAACCAGTGACAGCGGTGGCACCCCAATCTCCTGCCTTTCAAGGTTGGTGACCTCTTAGCCTACTCAGCCGTTCTCTTCGAAATTAGTACTTTTATGACACTGCTCACTGACCGTAAGTTGGCATCCTGAGCTCCCCAAGAACAGGTCAGACTCATTCATTTCCCTGTTTGGTAATGACTCGGGTCCATTCATGTCCCTATTCAACGGTGTCTTCCTGCTTTTTTCCCTTTCCTGTTTCCTAAGATGTCTGCATTTGTCATTTTGCATGTACCTACCTATCGTTCATCCCATTCTGTTAGGAGTAACTGCAGTCCCAACCCACTGCCTTATTTGCCATTCACTGTTAAGAATTGGCGTCCAGCCTGTTCTCCAAAGCAGCAGTCATCAGGGTTGGTTCTAGTGTTATGCTTGCTTTAGCACAGTGGTTTTCAACCCAGGGTGATTTTGCCTCCTCAAGGAAAATCTGACATTCATTGTCTGGAGACATTTTTGGGTTTGACAACTTGGTAGGGTATGATTGCTACTGTCACCTGGGTAGAGGCCAGAGATGCTACTAAACATGTTTCAAGGTACACAATAGTCACCCTCACAACAAAGAACTATCTGGCCCAAAATATCAATAGTGCCCAGGTCAAGAAGCCCTGGACTCACCTAGTCTCTACCCTGTCACAAGAAGCTTATAAAGAAGAAGATACTTCTTTTGGTTCATTAGTTTATTTCAATTTCTGTAACAGGTGTCCTAAAATTTGACTTTGTGGCATTAGAGAGTTCTAAAAGTTATTATTTTCAGAGATACCATGTTAACAGTATTGACTAAGAGGTCAGCAGAGAACATGTATAACTTAAATTACAGACATTTAGAATTTGAGCTCCTATAATTGCCATTTCTTCATTTCTTTTGAGAGAGCGCTCAGAAAAAGCTTTGCTGTGGAGACAGTACCCTGCTCCTATTGGTTGAAGCTACTACATGTTTTTCCTCCAGAGTCTCTTTAAAAAATAGCCTTTATAGTCATGTGTACCAAATGGCTTTTCATTTCACATAACAAATATTTATAATACCAATAGTAATAGGCACAGTTTATTGAGCACTTAGTGCCTGCTTCATCATAGTAAGGACACTCATGCATTTTCCCATCTCATTTAATCCTCACAACGACCCTTTGAGGTCAGCTTTACAGATAAGAAAAATGAGGCTCAGAGAAGTTAAGTAAATTATCCAAATTGCACAGCCAGGATTTAAACCCAGGTCTTTCTGAACATGGTACCTGTTACATTCTACTGACGATACCTGCTTACAAGGAAGCGGGTGTAAAACTGAATAGATCATAGTCCTTTCCCTCCCTTTAAGGGGCTCCCAGTCTAAGGGTGAGCTAGTCTTTCAGACAGGCCCTGGGCAAATAGTACCAGTGCTGTACGAATGGTCGCCCAATCCTAAAGAAGGAATGATTTTAGTGTAGGGCAGGAGAAGGTGCCTGCCTGTCTGCTCCACTCTAAATATGAAGCTGGGCTGAGAAGTAGAAACTGATGGACAAGATGCCTGGAGTAAAGGAGTGAGAGTCAGGAGATTTTCACGAAGGGAGGCAAAGAGAGATACTATGAACACTACCAAGGGGGAACAATCTTCAGAAATGAGAGATGAAATTAATTCTGTAGCAAATTACAAATTTATTAAGCAAATGAAAACATATGTTAAGCTTAATTTCTCATCTGTAATATGGAAATAATACCAGTCTTATTGGGTTTTTGAGACAATTAAATGAGATGATGCATGCTAAAGTATTATTAACATAGTGCCTAGCACATTATACGGAATCATTGTATTTATCTCATTGTTGTTATTGTTGGCATAATTTGATCTTTGGGAAAAGGGGCAAGAGAGAGAAATGCTTTATCTACATCATCATGCCAAAGGCTAAGCTGTATCTAAAAGAGTTCAATCTTTGTGGCTCGTAAGACAAAGCAGCGCCGTTCAACTTGATTTGAAATCGTTTTTCTAGGCTTCATTTCTTCTCTACCCATACACAGATTTTCTTAGAACAGTCATTTGACTTTATCACTAGAGGCATTTTAATTACAACCTCTAATTCTCTCTTTGCCAAGGTTTTGTGTATCCATTACAAAATGGCATGGTTATACCAACATCAACTTTTCTGTCTTATCTGTTCCACCAGTATTGCTCATTGGCCTGACTGACCCAGCTCCAAGGGGCCACCTGTACACCCCGCATGAATTAACTCCATTGATGTTGTCTGCTCCCATTGTAGCTAATGGCACTGACTCAGCCTTCCATGTGCTTGCTGCTAAGCCAGCCCATACTGCTCTAGCACCCGTAGCAATGCCTGTGCGTGAAACCAACCCCTGGGCCCATGCCCTTGATGCTGCTAACAAGGGAATTGCAGCCACACATTCGGGTAAGGTGGCCACAGACGGTGGTGAGGATTCTGGGATCAGTTAAGTGACCCTCGTTTGAAAATCAGCCATTTACCTGAGTGGGAACCAGGGAGGAGTCCTTTTAGGAAAAATATGTGCCCTTCTAGAAATAAACTACTATTAAGAAAAGATGGTGAAGGAGGAAGAACTGAAGAGGTTAAGTTGATATTTCTTAAGACTACAGAACAGAACCACCCATAGAGCTTTCATAAAATACAAATTCCCGGGCCTCACCCCAGAGTCGTCACTGGATTTGGAATATGGGGCCATGCCTGTAGGATGAGGGGACCTGCCTCCTGCAATGGCAGGTCTACAAAAAGAGCTATAAAAAGCACTTTATTTTTGTTTTTCTGTACTTTCTAGTTTTTCTGTAATGAACATTTAGCTATGAAACCCAAAAAAAAGTTTTTAAATAATAATAAAGTCAGTTCACCAGAAGGACAACATGTATCTGGAAGCCAGGCCAGGCCCGCGAGGTAAGGCACCAAGGCACTGATTATTTTCTTTTCATTCTGTTAGAGCGGAAGGTGAATCACCTTGGGCCCTTTAGAGCACGCGCAAGGTGGTTTCTGTACCTTGGATGAGCCACAGCGACAGGAAGGGGTTTCTGATGCCAGCCGGCTGCCTTGGTTCAGTGCAGCTGAGCCATGTCCAGCAACTCCTCAGTGTGGCTGAGACAGCAGCAAGGTCTGACAAGTTCTCTTTGTCCTCAGTTAGTAATAGAGGCTTTCCTTCCCCCTACCCAAACCACAACATATCCCACTAGAGGGGCTTATTCCACGTGTTAGGATCTTTCAAATAACCAAGGTTATCAGGTGAGGAAAGAAGCCCCTAAAGACTGATTCTTTTGTCTCTCTATTTTGTTTGTTCCAGGGACCGAGTGGGGTCCATCTTCCGATGCTGCCTCTCCAGGTCTCTTCCAGGCTGGTCACAGACGTACGCCCTCTGAGGCAGACCGCTGGTTGGAAGAGGTGTCCAAGAGCGTCCGGGCGCAGCAGCCCCCAGGCTCCGCTGTCCCCCTGCAGCCAGTTCTCCAGCCGCCTCCGCCCACGGCCATCGCCCAGCCCGCGCCGCCTTTCCGAGGGAACGTGTGCCTCGCCTCTCAGCCCGTGCCAGTGGGTGTGGTCCCACCCCTGCAGCCGGCCTTCGTCCCTGCCCAGGCCTATCCTGTGGCGAATGGGATGCCCTATCCAGCCTCTAATGTGCCTGTGGTGGGCATCACTCCCTCCCAGATGGTGGCCAACGTGTTTGGCACTGCAGGCCACCCTCAGGCCGCTCACCCCCATCAGTCTCCCAGCCTGGTCAGGCAGCAGACATTCCCTCCGTATGAGACAAGCAGTGCTACTGCCAGTCCCTTTTTTAAGCCTCCTGCTCAGCACCTCAACGGTTCTGCGGCTTTCAATGGTGTAGATGATGGCAGGCTGGCCTCAGGAGATAAGCACACAGAGGTTCCTACAGGCACCTGCCCGGTAGATCCTTTCGAAGCCCAGTGGGCTGCATTAGAAAGCAAGTCCAAGCAGCATACTAACCCCTCCCCCACCAACCCTTTCTCCAGTGACCTACAAAAGACATTTGAAATTGAACTTTGAGCAGTCACTATGGCTTTTGTATTTTGTCTGTACTTAGGCAAGGGCAGGGGGTGGAGGTTAAAGGAGCAAAGGGGCCTTTGTGTTCCTGATCAAGTACACTTTTCACTAATCCCAAAGGTCCCAAGGAGCACGTCCAGGCACGGAGTGCTGTGCGGGGTGATTTTTGAAAAAAGTGGAGAAAACCATTCCTAGAGAAGAGCTGTCTTGCAGTTAGGCTAAAGAAGTCGAGGAAGTGTTGCCCACTGGCCCCCTCCTCCTGCCTCAGCCCCTTACAAATCTCTGGCAAGAGAGCAGACGTATCTGACCAGGAATCTGTATTCAAAGCACATTTACTGGAATATAAAATATAATGGGAAGCAAAACAATCGCCCTTTGTTTTTCAGGCCATTCACCTGCCTCCTCTCAGTACTGGCCTGTCTTAGAGATCAAGAGCAGGGTGGCCTGTGCTTGGGTCAGGGACGAGAGGCAGGCTGTGCTGCCAGAATTCCCAGGAGGGCACAGCAGCTGCCCGGCAGAGCTATATTTTAAGGGTAAAGTTGAGCTTCCATTTTGAGTAAGAATAAATATTATAAATATATATCGAAAAAGCCAAAATCTTTATTTTTATGCATTTAGAATATTTTAAATAGTTCTCAACATGAAAAAGTTGTATGAGTTGTAAGTAATCTTGCCAAAGGTAAAAGGGTTAGCTGTAAGAAATTGTACATAAGATTGATTTATCACTGATGCCTATTAAAGTAAAAAGAGGAAAGGTTGAGTGGTGAAGATGGGACCCCTGGCTAATTCGGTATCAGTCACTGTAAGTAGCACATTGCAACAACAATCATGCTTATGACCAATACAGTCGCTAGGTTTGTAGTTTTAAAGACAATGAAAGAGTAGTATTGTCCTGGTTTTAAACCTGTGATGAAATTCTAATGTCATTATTTTAATGGAATCAATCTAAATATGCTCTATAGAGAATATGTATTTTCTGTTATATATTGCTGCAGTTTCCAGTTTCCTTATGTTAATCCTTTACTTTGTTTTAACACTAAGGTGACAATGACGTCATTCATATCCATAGACTGGAACACAGGTTACTATGTTGGTTTGTCATGTGGGTCTTGGTGGGTTTTGTTTTGTCCTTTAGGTTTTGTTCTCATGAGTTTTGTGGGGGATGGAGATTCTGGTTTTATTATCTGTGTGTGTGTTTGTGTGTGTGTGTGTGTGTGTTTTAACACTAAGGTGACAATGACGTCATTCATATCCATAGACTGGAACACAGGTTACTATGTTGGTTTGTCATGTGGGTCTTGGTGGGTTTTGTTTTGTCCTTTAGGTTTTGTTCTCATGAGTTTTGTGGGGGATGGAGATTCTGGTTTTATTATCTGTGTGTGTGTGTGTGTGTGTGTGTGTGTGTGTGTGTGTGTGTGTGTGTCCGTCCCCGTCCCCATCCCCCTCCCCCTCCCTTGTGATGATGAAAACATCTCGTTGTCAGTTGCAGCCCCTTGACCTCTGGTAACAACGCGAGATCCCATCTCATTTTTACTTTTAAACGTTGGCCTTACAATCAAATGTAAGTTATATATATTTGTACTGATGAGAATTTATAATCTGCTTTAACAAAAATAAATGTTCGTGGTAGAAGCTTTTGCCCATGAAAGGCTGTTCTTTCCCCTTTATTAGCAAATGAGCTGACTTTTAGTTCTTTTTTGTCTTATTCTCTCTCCATTCTACAGCTACTGCAGATCTTTAGTTTGGTGGCTAGAAAATTATTTTTTGGGACTAGTATATTCCTAAAATTCAGATTTTTATTCATACTTGAGGCTTTGGTTGATACTGAGTGCATCTCTAATGTCAGATTCTTGCTGCTCCAAGTGTGCTCCGGACAGCAACACGGACTTCACCTAGGAGCTGGTTAGAGATACAGAAGCTCAGCCCCACCCTGACCGCGTAAGCAGAAACGGCATTTGAACAAGATTTGCAATCGAGAATCCAAGGCTAGAGCACTGATTCTCAACCTTGGATACGTATCAGAATCACCTGGGGAGCTTTTAAAATTCTCAGGTCCTGCCCATGCTCCAGGCCAATTAAATCCAAATCTCTGGGAAGGTTCGGGGTTTTTTTTAAAGCTCCCAATATGGAAGAGAGTTGAGACCCACCGGTCTAGAGTGAATTTTACTCTCACCTGAACCTTAGGCCATTATTCTGTGACTAGTTCTAAGAAGAGCTAGCTAACCTCAAATTTACCTTCCGAAGTGTCGCCAATAGGCCAAATGCTGGTTTAACTAAAAAACTGGGCAGTCCAAGAAAGTAGCCGTTATTTTCTGATTTCTGTAGCAGAACCAGCTGTGGTAAGTGAACGGGGATGCTCAATATTTTTTTAACAGAAGGACGACAAGACCTCTGACCAGGCCCACATTTCCTCTGTTAGATGATAGGGAGACCGAGAAGTGTCCCTCACCCACGGCACAGTCTCTTTTTCTAGCCAGCATGGTGGTAATAAAAGTCACCTTTCCCTGTAATGCCTTTCTTTTCTGTGTCCCAGAATAACCTCTGTCACTAGGCCCAGCCAGCCCTCGGGAAGATTTGTAGAAGGTTCAAGTAGAAAGAGACTCAGAAGCTTATTGAATCCAGGCTTCTGATTTTAGCAGCAAGGAATTCAAGGTTCTGAGGTGAAGAATGACTTCTTCCAACTCAGTCCATTTCTGAAGCCACCTCCTTATGTTACACTGCCCACCCCTCCCCTCCATTGGCGCCCCCATCCTGCTGTTGCTGTTTTTGATTATAGTATGGCTTTTATCTGGCAGTGAACATTTTGCTTCACAGATCCCTCCGTGAGGAGGAGAGGCTCCTGGTTGGTCACAGCACAGAGCAGGCCCAGCAGTCAGCTCCATACAGGTATGCCATGATCCTCACAGCCAGCTCTGCGTGTCAGCCTCAGAAGGAGGGCTTCAGGCTCCAGCTCCCTGATGAAAGTAAGGAGATTCTCCAGTTCTTTCATAATAATGCAGTTGCTACTCTTTCATCCCATATTCCTGCACTGAGCCTTACGTTATAGTCCACTTCGCCGAGAGCTGTCACAAACCTGCTGTTAACTGTACGCACAGATGGGATTTGAAGCTGGTTGCTTTACTACCTAGAAGGGTGAGAGAGAGATGAGAGCAGTAGACCACTGTTTGACCCTACCTGAGATCTGGTTCTAGCAAGAATACTTCTCTGTCGCAGCAGGAGTTAGTGTTCCCCATGTGAGCTAGGCGTTAACTTTGAAATCATTACGTGTCTCCCCATTCAGCTTTAAATGAAGTGAGAACCCCAGCGGCTTCTTTTAAAATGCAGTCAGCTGATTCTGTGTAACAAATTGTAGAAAGAAGGAAAGGGTGTCGTTATCCGAACAAACTCCTCTTGTTCATGTCAGAGATGCAGACACTGCTGGGGACTCAGAGGGAGGCTGGTGCTGGTTGCTGCTGAGGCTAAACACGAGGTGGGTGGGGGGCAATGTCTCCACCCCTTTGCCAGCCAGAGAGGGGAGACCGAGAGTCCCTGCCCCTCTCCCCAGCTCTAAGAGTTGCTTTAGAACTGGGGCTGGAGCCGGCCTTCATCCCAGCTGCCAGACTGGCTGAGCGTGAGGCTGGAAGCGGGAACAGCTGGCACAGCAGAACCTGGAGTAATACTCATTGCCACAGAGCCGGGCCTGCAGGATCAAATCACAGTTGGCCAGCTCCGGCTGGTCGATGCACTCCCTACTGGGGTCCCTCGGCTGAGTGACCAGTGCTGCAAAACGACAGGGGGGAGAGAAAGTGGTCAGGTAGCTCTGTGTGTGAAAATTCTCACCTACCATTTCATTTCCTTAAAAGGAAAGTGGCACTATAACTGCCAGATTCCCCCCAAAATGCAATTACTCTGTAACCTTTCAACACCTGTATGTACAACTACATAAGGGATCACGATTTCCACCCATTGGTGTGTTTTTTTTTTTCCAGTTACAGTTGACATACAATACTGTATTAGTTTCAGGTTTAGGTTTACAACATAGTGACTAGACATTTACATAACTTACAAAGTGATCACAATTAGTATCCATCTGATATCATACATAGTTATTACAATGTTATTAACTATATTCCTTATGATGTACTTTATGTCCCCGTGATTTTTAATAACTGGCAATTTGTACATCTTATTCCCTATTTTTTACCCATCTCTCCAACCCGCCTACCCTCTGGCAACCATCAGTTTTCTTTATAAGTTAGTTTGTTCATTTAGTTTTTTTCAGATTCCACATGTAAGTGAAATCATATGATAGTTGTCTTTCTCTGACTTATTTCACTTAGCATAATACCCTCAAAGTCCATCCATGTCACAAATGGCAAGATTGCAATATTTTATGGCTGAGTAATATTCCATAGTATATATGTACAACATTCTCTGTATCCATTCATTTATCAATGGGCACTTAGGTTGCTTCCATATCTTGGCTATTATAAATAATGCTTCAGTGAACATAGGTGTGCATATATCTTTTCAAATTAGAGTTTTAGATTTCTTCGGATAGCACGCTACCTCCACCTTCATTCTTTTTCAAGACTGCTTTGGCTGTTTGGGATCTTTTGTGGTTCCATATAAATTTTCAGATTATTTGTTCTAGTTCTCTGAAAAGTGCCATTGGTATTTCGATAGACAATTGCATTGAATCTGTAGATTGCTTTGGACAGTACAGACATTTTAACCATGGTAATTTCTCCTATACGTGAGCATGGTATAGCCATCCATTTATTTGTATCTTCTTCAGTGTCTTATAGTTTTCCAAGTACAGCTCTTTAATTCCTTGGTTAAATTTATTCCTAGGTATTTTATTCTTTTTGATGTAATTGTAAATAGGATTGTTTTCTTAATTTCTCTTTCCAGTAGTTTATTATTGGTGTATAAAAATGCAACCGATTTCTGAATATTAATTTTGTATCCTACTTTACTAAATTCATTTATTAGTTCTAATAGTTTGGGGGTGGGATTCTTTAGGGTTATATATATATATAGTATCATGTAATCTGCAAATAATGACAGTTTTACTTATTCTTAATTCAGATGCCTTTTATTTCTTTTTCTTGTCTGATCGCTATGCCTAGGACTTCCAATACTATGTTGAATAAAAGTGATGAAAGTGGACATTTTTGTCTTGTTCCTGATCTTAAAAAGCTTTCAGCTTTTCACCATTGAGTATAATGTTAGCTGTGGGTTTGTCATATATGGCCTTTATTATGTTGAGATATGTTCACTCTATCCCACTTTGCTGAAAGTTTTTATCATAAATGGATGTTGGATTTTGTCAAATGCTTTTCCTGAATCTATTGATATGGTCATATGATTTTTCTCCTTCACTTTATGTGGCGTATCACATTAATTTGATTTGTGGGTATCATACCAGCCACTTTGCATGCTGGGAATAAATTCCACTTGATCATAGTGTATGATCTTTTTAATGTATTGTATTCAGTTTACTAATGGTTTGTTGAGGATTTTTGCGTCAATGTTCATCAGGGATATTGTTCTATAGTTTTTTTTGTTGTGTCTTTGTCTGGTTTAGATAGCAGGGTAAAGGTGGCCTCGTAAAATGAGTTTGAGAACTTTCCCTCCTCTTCAGTTTTTTTTTGAATAGTTTGAAAAGATTGTGTTAACTCTTCTTTAGTAAAATTCACCTGTGAAGTCATCTGGTCCAGGGCTTCTGTTTACTGGGATGGTTTTTTCAAATTATCCATTCAATTTCATTATCTGTTTATCTGTTTATCTGTTTCATTATCTGGTTATCTGTTCAGATTTTCCATTTCTTCCTAATTCAGCCTTAGAAGATTGTATGTTTTTAGGGATTTATCTATTTCTTCCAGGTTGTCCAGTTTGTTGGCATATAATTGTACATAGTATTTCCTAATCATCATTGGTATTTCTGTAGCATTGGTTGTCACTTCTCTTTTACATCTGATTTTATTTGGGCCCTCTCTTGATGAGTCTGGATAAGGCTTACCAATTTTCTTTATCTTTTCAAAGAACCAGCTCTTGGTTTCATTGATCTTTTCTATTTTTTTTTTTTTTAGACTATTTATTTCCGCTCTGATCTTTATTACTTCCTTCTTTTTACTCCCTTTGGGCTTTGTTCTTCTTTTTCTAGTTCCTTTAGGTGTAAGGTTAGATTTTTTGAGATATTTGTTGAGCTAGGTCTGTATTGCTATAAATTGCCCTCCTGGAACTGCTTTGGCTGTGTCTCATAAATTTTGGGTCATTGTATTTTCATTTTCATTTATCTCAAGGTATCTTTTGATTTCTCCCTTGATCTTGTTAATCCATTCATTGTTTATTAGCATGTTATTCAGCCTCCATATGTTTGTGTATTTTTCAGTTTTCTTCTTGTAATTGATTTCTAGTTTCATACCATTATGATTGGAGAAGATGTTTGATATGACTTCAGTGTTCTCAGATTTATTGAGACTTGTTTTGTGGCCTAACATGTGATCTGTCCTGGAAAATGTTCCATGTGCACATGAAAAGAATGTATATTCTGCTGCTTTTGGGTAAAATGTCCTAAAAATATCAATTAGGTCCATCAGCTTTAATGTGTCGTTTATATCCTTTTGTTAGATCGATCCCTTTATCAGTATGAAATGCCCTCTTTGTCTCTTGTTACAGCCCTTATTTTAAAGTCTGTTTATTTTGTCTGTTATAAGTATTGCTACCTCATCTTTTTTTTGTTTTGCATAAATTGCATAAATTGTTTTTGCATATCCTTACTTTCAGTCTGTGTGTGTCCTTTGATCTGAAGTGGGTCTTGTAGGCAGCCTATGTACAGATCTCGTTTATTTATCCATTCAGCCACCGTATGTATTTTGATTGAAGCGTTTAATCCATTTACATTTAATTATTGATAGATATGTAGTTATCACCATTTTAGTAACTTTTCTGATTGTTTTTGTAGTTTTTCTCTGTTCCTTTCTTATTCTCATGCTCTTTTTTATGTTGATGATTTTCTATAGTGTCATGTTTGGATTTCTTTCTCTTTATTTCTTGTATATCTCTTGTAGATTTTTGGTTTGTAGTTACTGTGTGCTTCATATGTACCAAGATATGTTTATAGCAGTCTGTTTGAAGTCGATGGTCACTTAAGTTTGAACACATTCTAAAATCACTACAAGTTTTACTCACCCCCTCCAAGTTTATCTTTTTGTCACTTTTTACTTCTTTTGTGTGTACCCTTAATTTATCGTTGTAATTACACAAGATCTTCTTTTGCCTTTTAACTTTTGTACTAGCTTTGTGTTTGGTTGATTCACTGCTTTCACTGTTTGCCTTTGTCAGTGAGAATTTTTTTCTTTCCTATATTTTCTTATTCGTATTTTTTTACCTTTTCTACTTGAAGAAGTCCCTTTAACATTTCCTGTAATACTGGTTTAGTGGTAGTGAACTTTAGCTTGTCTTGTCTGGGAAACTCTTTATCTCTCCTTTGATTCTAAATCATTGCCTTGCTGGGTAGAGTAGTCTTAGTTGTAGGTCCTTGCTTTTTACCACTATTTCATGTCAGTCCCTTTTGGCTTGCAATTTCAGTTGAGAAATCAAACTGACAGTCTTATAGGAGCTCCCTTGTTGTGGTAACTACCTGCTTTTTCTCTTGCTGCTTTTAAGATTCTTTGTCTTTAAACCTTTGGCATTTTACTTATGTCTTGGTATGGGCCTCTTTGGGTTCATCTTTTTCAGACTCCCTGCACTTCCTGGACTTGTATGTCTCTTTCCTGTGCCAGGCTATGGAAGTTTTCCATCATTATTTCTTTAACTAGGTTTTCAATTCCTTGCTCACTCTCTCCTTATGGTACCCCTATGATGCAATGTTGGTACATTCAGTGTTGTCCCAGAGGCCCCTTAAACTAACCTCATTTGGGGGGGGGTTCTTTTTGCTCTTTCAATTGGGTGTTTTCCACTACCTCGTCTTCCAGATCACTGGTTTGATCCTCTCCATCTGATCTGATATTGATTCCCTCTAACGTAATCTTCATTTCAGTTATTGTATTCTTCATTTCTAAACAGTTTTTTTATGGTTTCTGTCTGTTGAGGTTCTCACTGAATTCATTTATGCTTCCCCTCAATTCATTGAGCTTCCTTATAACCATGTTTTGAACTCTAGCTGGTAGATAGATTGCTTGTCTCCATTCATTTAGTTCTTTTTCTGGAGTTTTTGTCCTGTTCTTTCATTTAGAACATGTTTATCTCTCAGTTTTGCTGAATCCCTGTTTGTTAGGTGGATCTGCTACGTCTCTCAGTCTTGGTAGTGTGGCCTTATATAGCAGGTGTCCCATAAGGCCGGTAGTGTAGTTTCCATATTCACCTGAGCTGGGTGCTCCAAGAATGTCCCTGTGTGTGCCCTCCTATTGTAGTTGAGCTTTTATTGCTGTTGGCATGTCAGCGGGTGGGATTGAACCTCAGGCTAATCGGCTCTAAGGGCTGGCCATGACTACAGCAGACAAGCTGTTGTGCAGAAGACTGACCCCACAGAGCAGGAATTGTTTTAGTGGGGTTCTGGTGCCACCAAGTCTGCCCTTCAGATGTGTCATTTATGGAGCTGGTTGGGTGCTGCTCTGGTGTGGTCTGAAGCCAGCCACTGGGCGTGTTGGTTCTGGAGGCTCTTGGGAAGGGCCCCTGTGCAGGCCAAGGTCAGCTGCCATTTGTACCTTCCTTGGGGCTGCCTACTGGGAGCTTCAAAGTGACCTGTGGTTGATTGCTGTTTGTGCTGGGCTTGGAGGCACTTGGGAGAGGCTATACTGTGAACCAAGGCCAGCTGCCACTAGTTAAACCATTTGTGGCTGCTTAGTTGAACTTACATTCCAGGCCAACACTAGCTGCATCTTATGCCAGGCTTGAGGCCACCTGATGGGAGTTAAAATGACAGCTGAAACCAGTAGCCTCTTGTGCTGGGCTTGGTGCCACTTAGCAAGAGGTACAGGGTACGCTGAGGCCAGCTACTGCTTATTTGGGGTTTGTGGACCTTTGAGAGATTTTAGGAAAGTCCACAGCATGGGCCGATGCCAGCCTCTTGTGTGGAAAAGCCACTGGAAGTGGCTCGAACTGGGTGCATAAGCTGGATAGGGTGGGGCAAATGGTGTTGGCCAGGTTAATGGAAAGCTGCTGGTTGGGTGGAGGGAGGACGCAACAAAAGAGAGATGGTGCCTGCCCGTGCTTCTGTCCCAAGTAGAGCTGCCGCCCCTGCACTGGAGCCCAGAATGAATGAGTTTGTGGGAATGCCTGGGACTCCAGCAGCCCTCCATCTCACTCAGATGCAGTGCCCACTGGTTTTTACCGCCAGCTGTTATGGGGACTCCTCTCTTCCTGGAGCCCTGGAGCTCAGACTCCTTGCTCCTCAGGGGGAACCTCTGCAGCCAAGATATCCCTCCCAGTTCTCAATCACCACAGCGCGGGTGCGGGACCTGCCCACTCCACATCTCCACCCCTACCAGTCTTGTCCTGGCTTCTTCTGTTCAGCTAATCTTCAGGTGGTTTTAAATTTTATACTTCTCTAATTTAAGTTGTAATTTTGATGTGATCATGGGAGGTGTGCATAGCGTTTTTCTGAAGTCAATTTCCATCCACTGTTGGCCTTACTTTAGCATGCAGTGGTCCTCCCGTTATTGACCCATCGAACTTCCCTTTTCTTTCTGGAAGGGGCTCTTACTTGCTTTAGGCCTGAGTAGCACCTTCCCAAAAACCTGACCTCATGAGGCTAAGGAAGGCTCATCCCCTCTTGCCCCAACTAATAGACCATTCCTCACCAGCGAATGACTGTAAAGGTTTGATATATCAGTATAACAAGAGCACTACCTACCTTAGAGTCACATGAACAGCAAACCATTTATGAGACTGGTTTTAAAAAATCAGTAACTTTGATATCAATTCTGTCTCAGCTGTTTGTAGCCCCTGGGCCTGTCACAGGGCCCAGAGGATAGGAGGTGCTCAGCATCGTGGTTATACAAACCAGCTCTGGAGCCAGGCTGCTTGGGCGGGTACCTGGCTCTCCCACTTAACCAGCTGGCTGACTCTGGGTAAGACACCTAAGCTCTCTGTTTCTTCATTTGAAATGGAGATAGCAGTAGCCCCTTGGGCACATAGTAACCAGAGCTAAATCTGAGCGCATAACCGTGTTTTTGCCTCATAGCCTCATTCTCTCTCATTTAAAAAAGTGAGTAACCACCTCCCCCGCCTTGTTTTATACCTATAGTATTTTTCTGTTTCTAATCAATCTTTTAGGCAAAAAGGTTGAGAAGTCCTCACAATACAAGTTTGTACGTTACACCAAAGTGTGACTAGCTCAAGGCTCCTCACTCTGACGCTAACACTCAATGCCACCAAACCATGACTAGGGCAAAGTGAGACCCCACAAAAACCATAAATGGCTGAGAGCACATAATCTGCAGCTTAATCAGAGGAATGAATACAGTTAGGGAGACCACTTCTAACCAAGAAAGATACCCCTAATACATCTAAGATTAGCACCACCATCCAGCACGCGTGGGAGAAAAGTGGCCTGACTGATGCCATAAGTGCCCTGTCCAAGTTGCAGGTCACATCAGACCATTTCAGTATGGGACCCACACATCAGGAGCCCCACCAGGCTTCATCAAACAAGTTTCTGATTATAATTTGGCTTCCCAGCTTCCCATATAGACTTAGCTAATCACAAACATGACCATCAGGGTCCTCCTAATAGCTTTTCTCGCATAAGTCTGCATTCTGGGTTGTCTCAAGACTTGTAAGTTTGGTTAGTATGTAGACGAGAGATCAATTCATCAGAGGTGAAAACTGCCCCAGCAGTATGGTGCTGTCACCAACGTAATGCCTTCATGCACTCAGTCACCAAGTATCTGAGCACCTAGTGATGCCAAGCACTGGGCTGGGCCCTGGGGATGAGTCCCAGTCACTTTTCTAAGGAGCTCACAAACTGGAAGCCTGCATGTCGGGCCAACTCAGCAACATTTCTACCACAGACCTTCAAGCTCTAGTACTGACCAGTGTCCACCCTCTGCAGGCAGCCAGGCCGGCACCCCGAATGTAACACTGCTCCTGGTGCGTGAACATCCAGGCAGGCCAGCACAGGAAGGGCCTGGCGCATTCTCCCCCAGCTCTGTTTCAAGCCCCATGAAGTCCGGCTGCTTGGCCTGGGGCACTGCCCCGCTGTTCAGACAGTGAACCCACACTGAGGATACGTGGGAGGGCAGAGCACCCCTCCCGTTTCCTTCCGGCTTACTCGACTAGGGAGCTCTTGTGAGTTTGAACATTAAACCAGTCTGTTCCATAAATTCTGAGATGCTTTTAATGTAACACCTGTCAAATTGGACTGTATATTGGTGAAGTGTTAGCATTGTGTCACTTAACAACCTTTTTTTCTTAGTGGGATGAAAACTAATGCATCTCACAATATAGTATTTAGAGTTGTTAAAATTTGATAATATAACAACTCAGAGCAAAAGCTGGAGAATATAAAGCTAAAATATCAAATTACTGAATAATGCAGGTAAAATTCTACCCAGTTACAGGCGTAATAGTTTAGTGAGAACACTAAGTGAGGAGTCAAAAGACTTAGGTTTTAGTACCAACTTGGCCGTGGATTTGCTGTGCAACTTGTGGAAACATCACTTGAGCTCTCTGGATATCTGTGTCATTTGTGAGATGGTGATACTAATCCCTGCCCTTTCCTTTCTGGGTTATAGGGTCAAAGAGCCATAAAGGCATTTTTTCGATCATAGGACCACTGTTTGCCACCCTAATTAGAATGGACAGTTTTTAATGGTATGTCTGCCTGCCTTAAGTTTTATAATGAAGCTCCAGTCAATCATTTCTCAAAATAAAACCAGTAAGTCTAAAGCATGATATTTAACACCATCTATTAAGCTATTACCAGCTGCCTGTCATACATACACATTATTTCCTTCATCCTCACTACGTCCCTATCAGGTGGGAGTAAGGCTCAGGAATGTTAAGCCCCTTGCCCCCAGTCACACCACCAGTAAGTGGCAGAGTGAGCCAGGGTTTGGACCAGAGTCCCGCGGACCACAGAGCCTGCACTCATCCTCACTCTGCAGCATACAGCCAGAACAAGCGAATACCTGAGGCAGGCCTTTCTTACCTGGCGGGACCACCTTCACCTCAGTGCTGCGGCTGACTGCCTGGCTTCCACGGTAGGCACTGCACGTGTAGGAACCCTCATCCTTGGCCTGCAGGTTGTGGATCAACAGCGTGCCATCTGGGGACTGGTGGACACGGTGGCCATCGGCCTGTACTGGCAGCCCATTCCTGGAGAGGAGAGGACACAGAGAGCTGTCCAGGGCCTCTGGTCTTCAGGCTCCAGAGCCAGGAGGCAATGAAAGACCATTCCAGAGCCAGGTACTTCCTCTGTGTAGACAGATGACCCTCACCTCAAGGAAGATGGAACATCATCAAAGCAAAATAACCCAAAAGACGGGTGGCCTCACACTGAGCACAGTGATCTAAGTTCCAGTGAATGTGCCTCTTATCCACAAAGGAACCACACTGATTTGTCATTAACAAAAGACTTCTAAGCAGCACTGAGGTGCCAGGCCCTGTGCTGGATGAAGGACATAAGCGCGCCCTGCCTCTGGGGCACTGGGGTGGGGGTGCAGGTGTCTAAGGGAGACTTCCCTGAGGAAGAGGCTAGCCGAGACCTGACCTAAGGATGAGGAGGCTGCAGCTGGCCGACAGAAGGAACATGGGACTCAGGAGCTTGAAGACAGGCCCCGGCCAGAGCAAGAGAGTGAAGGAGGATGTGCACACGGCTCTGGTCGGGAGTTTGGACTGGATCCAGGGGGTAACGGAGGGGCGTGAGCTAAGCAGCACTGATGCAGCTGTACTTTGAAAGGGTTGCAGACTTCAGTGGTGGGGTAGGGGACAAGCCTGAAGAGCAGAGGCCAGGTAAGTGGCTGCTGCACAGATGACACAGGCAATGAAATAAAGGGACTGGGATGAGGGGCAGATGTGGGAGTTGGGGAAGAAATCAAGCTACAGGGTTGTAGCTTGGGTTACTGGGCAATGGTGGTGCCCTCCACCGTGAGGAGACCCGGGGAGGGAGGGATGAGGGATCAATGTGAGGTTATTTTCCACCATTCTGTATTTCGGGTGCCGAGAGATGCCAGAGGCTTCGGATTTGAGGTTCTGGACCCAGACAGTGTTATCACCGGGGATGGTTCTGGGAACTGTCTACAGGGTTGCCCAAGGCCAAGTTAGACAAACTGAAGACCGAGGACAGGACCTTGAGGCACACCGGCCTCTAAGGGAGAGGTATGAAGAGATGCAGCAGACAGAGAAGCAGGACGAACACCAGAAGAGGGTTGTTGCCTGGAGCCACGGGGAGGGAAGGTCTCAGGAGGCACAAGCGATCAGTGGGAGGATACAGGTCGTGTGGGGGCTGGGATATGCCAGAGGATTTAGGAACAGGGAGGCAGCTGGTGGCGTTGGCCAGAGTAGTCTCCCTGGAACAGGGGTGGAGGTGAGGCCCCAGTGCACGGGCTGAGCTGTGAGTGGGGTGAACAGGTAGAGACACGTGATATAAACGGCCACGCTGTGAAGGGGAGACTGACAGAGGCCAGGCCGCAGGGAAACACAGGGTCAGAGGAGGGCGTTTGTTTATGTTTGATTTAAAGAGGGAAGTCGTCCTAAGCATGTCTGCTGCTGGGAAGAGCCAGGGCCCAGTCCAGTGTGAGGGCCCACGGCCACGCTGGCATCTCACTTACCTCTGAGCCTCGCCCAAAATCATCCTTCCCCCTCAGCCTTCACGGCCCAGCCAAAGTCACATCCATGGCCACTCCTTCCTTGATTCTCTCAGGTGGGAGGCAGCCTCCTCTGTACCTGAGGGGACCCTGGGCCATCTCCTGCCTAGGAGTATCTAGGGGACGTGGATCATCCCAGGATCCCCCCGGGACTGTTTTAGGGTTCTGATTACCTTAGGATCCTCAGAGCCTAGCCTGGTCCTGACACAGTGCAAGGAGGAAGGGGGCAAAAAAACAAAAAGTTTGCTGAATGAATCAGACCAACTGATCTGGGGTAAAGGCCACTGAAGTCTCCAAAGCTGAGTGTAGCCCAGTGGTTCTCAACCCCAGGGGAGATTCCACCGCCCCCCCCACGCCCCCGCCCAGGACATTTGTCAACATCTGGACACATTGTCATGACTTGGGAGTGCTACTGGCACCTAGTGGGTAGATGGCCTGGATGCTGCTAAACGCCCTGCAACGCACAGGACAGCCCCCACAACCAAAAATTATCGGGTCCAAAATGTCAGTGCCGAGGTTGAGAACCCCTGGTGTGGCCCAGCTAACAGAAAAGAGAACAGCCCTGTGTGGCCTCGTTGTCTAGGCACCAGGCCTGGGGGTGGGGCAGTGGTGACAGCAACATCCCTGCTGAAAAGTGGACACCTGTGGGTCTGAGGCCAGGCCTGCGGGAGTAGTCTTACCTGGACCATCTGATGTTCACACTTTCTCCTGCCACCACACACAGCAACCTGGCCGTGTCGCCTTCTGGCACCGTCATAGTAGAGGGCAGCCCTGTGATTGTCAGGTCTCCTGAGCCCAAGGATGAGGCACTGTCAGCCACTATGCTGATCCTGCACCACCTGACCTCAAAGGCCACTGGTCCCAGTCACCCTTCCACTCAAGACTGCCCCTTACCCAGAACTCTGAGCTGGACCCATCTCTGGTCTCGGTCCTGCCCATTGAAGGCGACACAGGCATAGAAGCCGCCGTCTTCCACAGCCACGTGGCTGATGACCAGAGAGCCATCGGGCTGCTGCTGGTGTCTGGGGACCAAGCACAGTCAGGTGGCTCCATCCCACGGGGGCAGGGGAGGGACAGGGTCCTCCTTTCCCTGGTGAGCAGCCTCTACTGCTGAGTGGGGTGTCACCAAACGGCCAGTCAGCCTTAGGCCCTCGGGTCCCCCACCTGCCAGCACTCACGTGAGGATGCCTGACTTAAGCCTGCCAATAAACAAGTCTTCTGATACAAAATAATATGAGTGTCCAGTTTTCGCTACCCTCATTTAGTGGGCTCACATCCTGGCTTTGCCACTTAGGAGCTGCGTGGTGTTAGGCTTCCGTGTGAAAAATAGCACCTACCTCACCGCGGCTCTTCTGCAGCTCGTATGGTGGCCACAAGCCTCACACTCATACGGGCTCAGTAAATGTTAGCTGTTATGATTACAGCCAGAAATACGTCTGCCTCCACTCCTCCCTCAGCCAGCACCTCTGTTACCTGGCCTGTTACTTCTGCCCACTAACTACACCGGAAAAGCCCAGAGACCCAAATGCCGGTCTGCCCAAGGAGCCCTATGCTGAGCAGCTCCCTCTCTCAAGAGACCTTGACTGACCAGAGGGGACACCTGGCAGCCCTTCCCCTAATGGCCTACATGGGGTGGGTGGGGCTGGAGAGGAGCAAGCGAGGAGAGGAGCGGAGCAAACCTGGGTGAAGAGTGGGGCTGCCCATCTCTCTGCCACTCGATGGTGGGGGGCGGGAAGCCCTCAGCACGACAGGTCAACCGGATCCGCTGGCCTGGGTGGGCTTCTACCACCCCAGGCTGGTTCCGGTCCAGGCGGAGCCTGCAGAACAAGCACCCCTACAGCCCTGAGAGGGTCTTTGCCACTGCTGCCCGCACCCCTATCCATGCCTGGGGCCGGGACCTCTGTGCAAGCCTCATGGTCCCTCCTCGCCCTCCAGCCAGATGCAGCTTCCTAAAATCGCCCCTCTGTTCTGGTGAGGACCCATCAGTACCTACGTGGGGCAAAGGCTAACAGCCACCTCTGCTTTCTCGCAACCCTCACGTGTGATCTCAGACTGGCTTCTCCCCACCCTGCACATCTGCCTCTGCCCTTGACCTGGACACCCTCCGGCCCTCTGCACCCCTTCTGTAGACTGTGACTTCTTCCAGCTCAGGCTCTTTACTCCAGACACTCTTCCCTTCCCCTGTCTCCCAAGTCCTGGGCCATAGCCTGCAGTGTTCCCAACTGGCTGAGGTTGGAGGGAAGGCCCCCCTTCTTCCTCAATAGGCTGAGCTCAGGAAGCCATGTTTTTCTAGTCCTCACCTCACAAAGCCCTAAGCAGGGGCCGGCAAGCTGGTCATGGCACACATCGGCCTGGGGAGCCATTCACCTTCCCCTTCTGTCACCCATTGAGACCTCCATGGACCCTGGCCCTCAGGTTGGGGAGGCTGAAAGCAGCATAGCATTGCTCCCATTACCTGGTCGTGGGCCACGGATGTGAGGAGGAGATGGTCCCCAAGCCCCCAGCATCGCCCCCTAGGCTGGAGTCCTGAGGACTGAAGCCCTGGGTTGGGTTTCTGGTCTGAGGGAAGAGCCTTGGCTCAGCCTCGGACATGTCACTCCCTGTCATAAGGCCAGGAGAAGCAAGGGGTGAGCTGTGGGGAGAAGGGAGTTGGAAGGAAGGGTGGGCCATGAGGCCAGTGGGGGACATGGCAAAATGAGGGCCACAAGGGGCAATACGTCCACCCCAGCCCAGCTGGAGCATATAGTCCCTGCTACCAGGATGCCTTGGCTCAAGGAGGCACCCGAGCCCCTCCAGTGTGGAGATGAGAACCCACTGGAGGTGGGGAACAGGGACCTGTGATGCGAAGGTGGATCTTCTGAGAGTCGCGGCCTGGCCCGATGCTGCCACAGCTGTAAGTGCCAGCATCCTCTGCCCACAGGGGGCTGATGACCAGGGAGCCATCAGGTTGCAGCCGGTGCCTGAATGGAAGGGACTCCTGAGAACAATAATGAGCCCGACCCCCCTCAGGCCCCAGTGCTCCTAGCAGAGGGGACCGTAGCCGCACACCCTCCCTCCCCAGGGGCTGCCACTGGGGGAGGATGCCTGCACACACCTGTCAGAGGAGATGGGCTGCCCGTCTTTCTGCCACCTGGTATGGGGGTCCAGGGCGGTGTCATCCGGACAGAAGAGCCGCACCACATGCCCCAGGGCCGCCTGCACCAGAGAGGGCTCCGAGCCTGCCAAGCTAATCCTGGAAAGGTGGGAGGCGAGGACCTGACCTGCTGGCATGAGTGCCAGGACCAGGGACCACCTTCATCAGCGAGTCCCACCGCGGACAGCTTGGTGCCCATCCTGTCACAGGCAATTGTGACAGAGGGCGTCACATGAGGCCAAGCTCCAGAAGCCTGTGGACTCAGGAATCTGCCCTCCCCACCTCCCTGCCATGCCCTAAGCACTGCCACTTCAACCTGTGCCCGCAGCAGCAGCAGGGGTGGCACAAAGTCCAGGGATGGAGAGGCTGGGAGACAGCACACACCACACCGGATTTGTGCGGGGGACTAAACCACACACCTGTTCATTTAGTTTTCAATCTTCGCAAATCTCTCAACATGACACAGTCCCGAGAGTAATTAATAAATGGAACTCACGCTAAACCTATGAGATAGCACGATTTTACGAGTCAAGAAACCGAGGCTTGGAGAAGTCAGATGACTTGCCAAAGGTCATGAGGACCGTAAGCTTTTTCAATTAGACAGACTCTTGGGTACACTGGCAAGACATGCTGTAGAGTCCAGGCACCACCATGTACTGACTGCTCAACTTCCAAAGCCTGAGCTTGCCTAGGTGTAGAATGAAGGTAACGAGGCTACCTCAGAGGATTTGAGGTTAGGGATAGGGAGGGTGGGCTGGCTTCCCTATTACCCCAGAGTTTTAGCTTCAACAGGCTTAGCCCCTGGCCCATGTCCTTTCCGCCCCCCCCACCTGGGAAAGGTGGGCCTCACCTGTAGGAGGAGCTGTGGGAGGGTGGCACTGGCCGCCAGGCATCTCTGCCCAGTCCAGGGGCGCTGGGCCCCAGCTCCTGGCCCCCAGGCTGTTCTCCTAAGGCCTGGGTGTGGTACGAGTCTCCTGGCCCAGGCTCTGAGTCTCTCCACCAGAGGCCACCAGAAGGCAAGGGTTTTCTCTGGCCTGTGGCCATGGTACTGTGCTGGCTGGCCTCCCGCTGGCCTCCAGGACTGCCGCTGCCACCATCTCTGTGGGTGTTATGGCCGGAGGCCTGTTGGTGGGGCCCATGTCGCGACCCCCCGCAGCTGCTCATGCACTCCTCTTCCGAGGGAAAGTTATTGGCGTTGCCGTGGCAGCCACCATACCAGAAGCGGTTACACTGGCCCACGGAGGCAATGAAGTACCAGCGAGCGGCCCAGTCTGTGCAGGAGCCGTGGGCGCTGGGCAGCAGGCACCGCACTGGGTATGCTGAGGACAGGGAGGATGCGTGTCACCCGGGTGGCCAGTAATAACACTGCCCAGCAAAGCCCTGCCGAGAAGCAGCCACCATCCCCTCTGAGACAGCAGCAAGGCCCTTCCCAGTTTATGGAGCATGCCTACACCTCTGCTCGGGCCCCTGACCTGACCCTGGGGGCAGCATCTTATTTACTACCCAGACCTGCCCTGGGCTGTGACCACAGCAGCTTCTGGAGTCAAACTGTCCATCTCCACCCACAGAGCTCTCCAGGTCAGGGCTGTGAGCTCCCTGGACCGGCTCCCTCAAGCCTTTCCCCATTACTTACCAGACTCCTGGAGTACACACCGGGGCCTGACCTTGACACCCTTAGCTCAGGATCCAGACCCAGCCCTGAGCAACCAGGGGCCTGTGAAGATGCCCAGCAAAGGCCCTGCTCTGCTCCCAGGGCCCTTTGCCAGCCTCTGAATGCAACTCCAGCCCCCACCTGCCCATGCTAGCAGCCCTCCACCCCAGCACAGCCTGCTCCACCTCTCCATGTTCGGATGTGGCCATGGCTGGCCCCTGCTTGAAGGCCCCTGCAGACCCTGAGCACCAGCCTGTCTGGCTTTTGATGTCCGCATGTGAGTCCCCAGCAGCTCCACCGATGCATCCCATGCTCCAGCCTCAATAACTTCCCTCTAGGACTCATCCCAGGCCATGGGACACCCCATCAGTCCTGGCACTGCCACCCTATACCATCTCTGCCTCTGGAGGGGGCTGAGCCTCAGGGGGAAGAACAAGTCTTTCTTCTCCATGGGAACTGCACCTACAACTCTCCCCAACTCCCACAGCAGCCAGATGGCCTCAGTGCAAACTGTTGGAAATGAGAACAATCTAGCCATGTTCTCTGGCCTGGCACCTAATAGGTAATCAATAAATATTCATGGAAGAAATGAATGAACAACTGAGCCAGTAGGAAGAGCTTTGGCTCTGGATGGGGGTGGGGGACACAGCGGGATCAGAGCCCATCCCCCAGCAAGGACGAGAAAGGGCATCCACTCACCGTAGCTGGGCTGGCCCACACAGCCTTCTCCGAAAGGGCCTGCTGCAAAAGCCACACTGTCATAGCAACAGCCAAACTGGGAGCCCCGGCACTCACTGGGCTCATTCTCCTGGGCCTGGGGCTGGTGCGCCTGGGGGGCCTATGGAGGAAGTTGGGGATAGGTCTAGTTCTTGGGGACTCTAGGTTGCCTGGGGGAGGATGGTAGGAAGAGGGACAGACAGAATTGTGAGCCCACAGCGCATGACCCCAGCCCTGGGAGGGGAGATCAAAAGCCAGGAGAATGTCGGATGAAACCCCCATCCCAGACCATCTCTGAAACTGTGCCCTCGAGAGGACAGCCCAGGCCGACAGGCTTCAGGGACCTCCTTCCTCAAAGACCAAAGCTGCCCAGTGGCACTGAGCAGGATCGGAGCTGGACTCCTGCCCCCCACATGAACGAGACACTTACTGTGGAGGCCACTGCTCTCGACCCCAGCCTGCTCCTGGCGCTGTTGCCACCATAAGACCTTGCACAGCCGGCTTGATGGGGCCCCTCAGCCGCAGACACCCCGTCAGGGCAGCACCCATACCTAGACAGACATCACACAGCCCTCCCCTCACCACCCAGCTCTGATCCCCTCCCTTTCAGGGACCCTGAGCTTCCGAGGCTCCCTGCACAGGGGGCTGACCAGGTGAGGATTTGAGTGGGAGACGGCATGTCCCCGCGTGCAGGGCACAGCATCCTGCGTACCGCAGTCTCACCACGTCTACCAACCACGTGGCGGCCGCCGGGGAGGGCCATGGTAACACGATAAGCAGAGTCGTAGCCCTAATAATTGGCAAATCCTCAACTCACACATCCTGCCACAAAAATGAGGAGGAAGAAATGAACCCGAGCCTCCCTGAATATCTGGTTCCCGGGGAGTTTTTACAAAGTCCCAGGAGATGGGGGCAGAAGGCGTGTCAGAGGATCTCACACTTACTCCACCTCCACAACCAGGACTTGAAGGTGAACGGAGGAACGGATCTAAGCCCCTCCATGTACCAAGCACTGTATGACTCATTTCATCCTCAGTCACCCCAGCCAGTGGCTGTCATCATTTCCAGCAGAGGAAGCCAAGATCAGAGAGGTTAAGTAACTTGCCCCAAGTCACCCAGTCACAGCCAGTAAGTGACTGAGCTGAAAATCACCCCCAGGCCACTGGCCCCAAAGTTTGGGCCCTTAGCACCCCAGCCCCTGAGGGAGCTCCCGGGAGCCTGGTTTGGATGGTGAGCTAGAATTCTACCCCGTGTGCCTTCCTAGGCCTCAGGCTACACCTCCACAGGCTGACTTTGCAGAGAAAGCAGGCTTTTCACCCGTCTCAGCATAGGAGAAAGCTCGGCAAGGGGAAGGCACGTCCTGAGGATGGAGAGGAGAGGAGAGGGCCTGAGCCGCGGCCAGCATTTGCTCCCACCCCACCGCTCAGGCAGGGCCGGGGGAACCCAGGACAGCGGAAGTGACACAAACAGTATCTATGATCTCATAAAACACTCTTCCCACATTTCAAAAGTCTTTAATCACACTCAGGGCAGCTCAGAGACGACACCTCCGTGGTCCCATTCCTGAGCCGGGCAAGCCCACCCCACCCCGTGGGAGCAGAGACGCTGTTCTGCCCATCGGACACACCTTCGCTCACACACCTCCCTCTTTCCCCTGGTCCGAGGAGGAAGAGGCACCTACTTGCTCTGCTGACAAGAGGTTCCAGGGCAGCCTTGCCACTGTGGCCCAAGAGATGCGGTGTGGCCATCAGGGCAGCACCCATGGGTGCTGTGTCTGCAGTCATGGGGCCAGGAGCCAGACCGCAGGGGCTGCTGCTGTGGCATCTGCTGCAGAGAAGGCGCTGGACCTGGGGCTGGCAGATGGGGGCTCAGGTCTCCTCTGGGGTTACCCCGGGCTGAGGGCTGCTCCCGGGGAGCCCACCACTGGTCTCTGGAATCTAGAAAGAGGAAGAAGCAAAATCACATTATATGTCTACCTGGCTCCTCACCTCCATGTGTCCGCATCAGACCCACCTCTCTCCATCCTCCCTAAGCCACTCACCCCCACCCTCAACCTCCATCTTCAGGACATTGGGTTGGGGGCTTCCACCAAGCTTCTCACCTGAGGCAGGGGCCTCCCGACCCAAAGACATCCAGGGAACCCTGGGGCTGGCGTGTACATCCTGCACGCTGGGGACTTCTGCAGGGGGCCAGGGCGGTCCAGGTGGGGTATAGGGAAACAGAGAAGAGTGGGCCCGAGCCATGGTCAGGCCTGACCAATGTTAGTGCCCGCCCTGCCACTCAGGCAGGGCCAGGGGAGCCCAGGACAGAGGTGACGTGAGCAGTACCTGTGGTTTCATAAAATACCCTTCCCACATTTCAAAAGTCCTTAATCACACAGAAAAATGCTTATATTACATGTACAGCAAAAAGAAAAGGCAGATATAAAAATAGCATCTATGTTTGATCCCAACAACAAAAACAGTAATACATTTTTTTAAATTAGATGCAAAAGCAATCCCACTAAAATATGGGCAAAGAACTTGAACAGACTTTTCTCCAAAGAAGATATACCAACGGCCAACAAGTACGTGAAAAGATGTTCGACATCATTAGTCATTAAGGAAATGCTATCAAAGTCATGAGATACTACTTTGTACCCCCTAGGAAGGCCCTAATCAAAAGTCAGAAACAAGCCTTGGTGAGGATATAGACAAACTGGAACTGTCACTCATTGCCGGTGGGCGTGAAGTGATGCAGAGACTGTGCAAACAGTTTGGCAGCTCAAAGAGTTAAATATGGAATCACCATTTGGCCCATAAGTTCCACTCCTAGGTACAAACCCGAAAGAAATGAAAACCTATGTTTACACAGAAATGTTTACAGCAGCTTTATTCATTATAGGCAAAAGGCAGAAATAACCTAAATATCAGCACATGAATGGATAAACAAACTGTAGGGTATCCATAAAATTGAATGTGATTCAGCCATAAAATTGAATGAAGTGCTGATGCATGCTACAACTTGGATGAACCTCAGAAACATTCTGCTAAGTGAAAGAAGCCAGGCACAAAAAGTCTACTGATCCTTTTCTGTGATGAAATCCAGAATAGGCTAATCCATAAAGACAGAAAGGAAATCAGGTTCCCAAGGAAGGAGCTTACGGTTAACGAGAAGTGATTATGTAATCAGTACAGGTGCTTGTATGGCATGATGAAAATTTTTGAAAATAGAGGGCAGCTGGTGGTTGCACAATGTTGCGAATACACCAAATAACACCAGATTTTACACTTAAAAATGGTTAACCGTATGTTATGTGAATTTTACCTCAATAAAAAGATTTCATATTAAATGTAATTGGATTGGTAGATGAAAGAATAAAGAGAGGATAGAAAATGAAAAAGCAGATATAACGAAAGGTTAACTGTAGACTTTAGAAGGTGGGAACATGGCTGCTCACTATATAGTTCAACTTCTCTGTATGTTTAAAATTTTTCATCATCTTATTGTCCAACGAGGTAAATTTACTAAAAATCATGAGAATGGGTGAATTTTATGGTACATGATATTTAACCACCATAATAAAGTTATTTAAAAGATTTTTTAAATCATAAAATGGAGAAAAAATGCAAATGGCTAAGAAAATTAAGACAAAAGGAATTTAATGGTACATAAAAGAAGACTCGCAGAATATTAACATTCACAGTGAAAGTTTCTGAGTGCTTCACGTGTGTGTGTGGGGTGGGCGTGGGTGGGGTCCCTTCCTTCTGTTTAAGCATATTACTACATAATGGAATAAAGTTATTTTAAAAAGTGAAAATTCCATTCCCATATGGACTGCATCTAGCCAGTCTCCAGGGAATATTTAAAAAATAATAATCTAGGGCTGGAAGACTCCAGCAGACATGTGGTCAAATCCTTGTTTTCATTTGATTGCTTACTCCACCCAGGCCAAAACCTCCACGGAGGCCGATTCAAATTCTCTTCCCAGTTCTATCATCTCCTACCCACATTCTCTCTGGCCCTGCATTCAGCCCCCGCCCTCCTGGGAATCTCTGCCTTCTCTCCTTTTAAATTCAAGGTGAGAGGCGCCTTCCTGCCAAGCCCATCCTGCCTCTGGCTTCCCCATCCTGTGACCCTTCTATCTTTTCAGGCTTAAAGTCCAGCATCTCTCCCCTGCACACCCTCTGGGCATCAGGCTCTGCAGGGCCAGTGCCAAGTCCTTCTTGCTCTTCCTAGCGTTTGAATTTCTGCCGCCTGCTTCCCACCAGACTCTTGCTTCCCCACTGTCTCCACTTCAGTCTGACCCTCAGGCAGGTACCCAGTTTGAATGGCTCCCCTGGGTTGTATTAGACAAATTCAACCTGCAGCCCTCAGCATGGTTCCAGCTCTCAGCACACCAACCACCCCCTGGACAGACCTCCTGCCCGCCCCCACACACACTGCTGGGGTTGAGGGCTGGTTCTGGGGCCCCGACTGGTCTCAGAGTTGTTCAGTACTTGAAATGTGGCCAGAGTTACATTCTTTAAGATTAATTTTATTTTAAATTTAAACACTGAGACTTGATTCACGTATAGGAAACCACCCCACCATGTTTGAAACAACGTGGGTAGTATCTACTCCGTCAACTGCACATTTATGAAATCTAAATCTAGATCCAGTATACCAGTGAAGGATTAGCATCTGAATGCAGATGTGCTGAAGTGTAAACTATACATCGAATTTCCAAGATTTAATTATTTTTAAATCTTGTGAAAAAAAGAATGTAAAATATCCCATTATTTTTCTATTGATCACACATTAAAAATATTTTACTGGGTTAAATAAAATATATTATTAACTAACTGTGTTTTTTTTTTTTTTTTACTTTTTTAATGTGGCTCTCAGAAAATTTTTAAATGACACATGTGGCTGGCACTCTATTTCTACTGATGGAGCGCTGCTCCAGAAAGAGGAGGAAGCAGAGGCTGCAGCTGCAGGCAGGGTGCAAGAACCCCGGCCCCTCCTCCGCAGAGCATGCGCCAGAATGCACTTCGACATTAGTTACAGTCCCCAGACCACCAGAAATCACCTCAATTCTCACCCGTCATGGACTTCTGCGAAACCCTGAGAAATCGTGACACTGGAAAATGTTCACATGCCAAATGGCATTAAAGAGAAAAAGCAGATACAAAGCCACACACATATTACACTAGAGATTTATCCCACTAATGGATAGGGTCAAGGGGAACTGACGTTTCTACATACTATTCTGATTTCTCCAAAATTTCCACAATGAACATACATTATTTTTATAATTATAAAAATAGCAATGAAGGTTATTTCTTTAACAACTCAGCCTGGCCTGAAATTCTGTCTCCAATTCCTTCCTTCCTACTTACACGAATCATGGACACCTCCTCCAGGAAGGCGTCCTGGGGCCTTGGACACTGAGTGGCTCTAGGGAGCTGCACTCATAGGAGCCCGAGGATCCTCCTGCCCCATGAAACCCATGCTGAGGAACCCGGGAGCCTGGCCCCAGGGCCTCCACACAGCCTCCCCACCATCACAGCTGACACCTTGCTTCTCAAGTACTGTGTGTGCAGACACTGCCAGGGACTCACCACAAGCCTGGAGAGTCACTTAGTAACCTCGCTGTACAGATGGGCAGACTGAGAGCCAGAGAGGATTTAGGTTAGCTGTTGACTCCAAGCCACTGGTTCTCAGCCACACTGCCATGTGCCTCCAGCGGAATCCTACCGCCCTCATCACTAACACGTCAGGGCCAAACACTCCTCTGTAGTGTCGGAAGGCCACCACCCACCCTGTCCAGCTCAGCCCAACCCACGCCCTTCCTCAACGTCAAATCCTCACACCAAACAAGTGCTGGCTTCTCTATCCTTTCCTCTGGTGACTCCTCATGCCTGAGACACCTTATTTCTCAGTGGGGATGCGAGGGAGGGGAAAGGGGAAGACAGAGGCAGAAACAGTATATAAAGACAATCTTTCCTGGACCACCCCCTTGCTCTGTATTCAGCCATTTAGTCATTCAACAAACACTGAGTACCTCGCACATGCTAGTTAAGTTCTGTGAGTGGTATAAACAGGAATAAGGAAATCAGGTACCTGGCCCTCGAGAAGCTTATAGCTAGTAAGCCTAACAAGCCATATACAACGCAGCAGCACAAGGACACTAACCTAAGAGTGACAGTAAGCTATGGGGGTAGGGTACGGGATGCTCCCTCTGTGGGAGAAGAACAGGGGTGGCTCGTGAGATTGCACAGAGCTGGGTTTGACGGCTTCAGCAGAGGAAGATGTGGGAGGAGAGCTGTCCAGGTGGCTGACACAGCACAAAGGCCCAGCGGCAGGAAGTGCTGGTTAGGTTCTAACAGGGAAAGCGGTTGGGCCGGGCTCTACCCTTCCTGTCCTTACCGGGAGGAAGATGACAAGGCTGTGTGTTACAGGGCTCCACGTCTGCAGGCTTCCACAGCTTCAGGCTCTCACACCGGCTGGGTGGCCCAATGGCACAGATGACCTGGCGCCTCCGAGTGCCCAAGCTGCAGCTCTTGGAGCACTGGGGCCCATGAGTGGGAGTGGGAAGAGAAAACACACATGCGTAGGGTGAGACCCTAAAGGTGGGGGTGGGGTGGGGAAGCGGTACTAAAGGGAGCGTGGGAGAGAGGTGGGAGGAAGAGAGGAAGGTAAGTGGGAGGAAGGTGCCTGGTAACGCATGTTGGATCCAAGAATAGGCATGTGTGCAGCCCGCCAGAGACCCAGGGGACCAGCACTGAGCAGCAGGTATGGGGGGAGGCAAGCACTCACTAGACCCCAGGTGCCTATGTGCCAGGCTTGGTCATTGAGGGGGGAACAGTCGTCATGCACACAGGGCTCAGTGAGAGGCGGCTGGTCCTGCAAGTGGCATGCTGTGGCAGGGAGCAGCGACCCCTCAGCACTCTGGCAAGTGATGCTCCTTCTCCGGACCCCGGCACCACAGCTGACAGAGCACTGTAAGGACCAGGCCATCAGCGAGAGCTTGTCCTCGCCCAGAGGAGCCACGCTGGTCTGGGCAGCTGGAGGCCTACTGGCCTGGCATGGAGGGCAGACGGCACCCTACGGCCCTTGTCCAGCTCCCCGGCCCAGAAAGCCTGAGTCACTCCCCTGAGGTCACACAGCCTGAACCATGGCTGTTAACACCAGGCTGAGGTGTGTTTTCCATATTCCCTCATTAGCAACTTAGACATCTGTAGGTGCTGGAAGCAGTGACCAGTAGCCCCAGACAATGCCAGCCCTTCCCTTGTCCCCAAACAATGTGTCCCGGGATCCTAGAGAAGGACGAAGAGCACTGGAGTAGGAGTCCAAGCACCTGCTCCTTGTCCCAGCCTTGGCCACAGCTTCCACAACTAACCGTCAGGTCACTTTACCGGGATCTGTTACCATGGCGGAGAACAAGCCCTCCAACCCTGTCCTGCTGCTGCCCCAGGCCCACAACCCGGCTCCTGATTCCCCCACCCCCGCCCCGGGCCCTGGCAGGGGCATCACCTCTCCCCAGGGCTCCGTGCTCCAGGCTGCGCAGCGCTGCAGGTTGCAAGCCTGTGTGGTTGGGGGCTTCCCAGGCAGACCTGCACATTCAGCCTCCTTGACGGCCTCCTGGACGCCAGCCCCATCAGACCAGACACAGTAGACGGAGCGGGACTGGGAGCCACCTCCACAGGAGGCCGAGCAGGGTGCCCAGGGCCCAGTCTTCCAGCTGGCAGGAAGCAGGAATTGGGAATCTGTAAGGCGGGCCCAGATAGCAGGGGGCCAAAGCCCAGGCCTGACGGGGCGCCAGCTCTCTCACACAGGAGTGAACTGGGGACCCCTTCCCCAACCTGCCCTGTCTTCTGAACATCTGGGCCTGTGCGGCCGGGGGACAAAGAGCTCTGCACAAAGGCCAAGCCCTGGGCCCTGCTCACCATTGCCCAGCACCGCACACGGGGGCCTACAACACGAAGCTGGCTGCCTCCCTCTCAGCATTCATGCCCTCATCTGCATCTCCCTTTCTCCTTCTCACCAGGTCCCCTGTCACTCCCAGCCAGACTCTATTCCCCCAGCGTTTGACCTTAGTTGTGGGTATCTCCCAGAAGGGCCATGCTCGCCCATGTGTGGAGTGGCCTGGAGTGGCTCTGCCTGGCCCTGGGGCACCAGGACCTCTGGGCAGTGCCCACAGCACATGCAAAGCCAAGCCCACCACCATCCCGCGAGGCCAGGTGGCGCCAAGCCTGTGATGGTTGAAGGACTGCACCAGCCCTGCAGGGAGCCTTGGACTGCAGATTACCTGTTCCTACATGCAGGCTGGGCCCCAGCAGGGCGCCACGCTCTGGGCTGGTGCAGGTAAGAGGTCCTTTGTGCAGGAACAAAGGCATTGCAGACGCCCCCAATCCCTGGCCCACTCCTGGGCATCTGCTGAGCCAAGTGCCCTGACGACTCAGACAGATGGGGCCTCCAGTACCTTCCCAACCCCCCTGCCACCAGCCTGGACATTCTGGGCACTGTGCGTGCACACAGGGTAGACAGAACAGTGACAGCTGCCTCCCCCTACTCCAGTCACAGCAGTGGGAAGCCCTGAGCCACCCAACTTCTTTGTTCAACACGTAAAGCAGCCTGGGAACCCCACCCCCTCCCACCCAAGGGCTTGGGCCCTTCCATGGGCGAGGACGGGATGGGGCTGGCAAGGGCCTCACCGCTTGGTCTGTGGGCAGGGGTGAGAGCTGCAGAGGCGGTGACTGGCCGGCCGTGGCTGGTGCTGGCACATGGGGTCAGGGTAGACCTCATTGTCGGTGGTGCAGAACACGGGGCGGGACTGGTGACCTGCAGAGGCCCGGCGGCCGTAGTGGGCAGCTGGTCAGTCAATGTTCACCAAATGTATTCTCTGGGCCAGGCACCATTCTGGACACAGCCCAACTGCCATCTTGATTAAGCCTAAAATGACCCCCTGGGGCAGGTGCCATGATCATCCCCAATTACAGATAATGAAACAGGCTCAGAGAGTTTTTCTGTGAGTGACCGAGCCCCATCTTGACAGCTGGTCATCGGCTCCAGGCCCTGACTCTGTCAGTGGAGTACCATCTCCTACGAGCTGCCACAGCTCCGGGAGTTCTCCCGGGTTCTCTTAGCTTAGGTGGGGCCCTTCACGGAGTCCCCCAACCCCTGGGTTTCCCCAGGGTGACCCTCATGACACGCAGATGTCTCATCTACTTGTCCACTTCCCCCGTGGGGCTGGAGCACCTCCCCTGGGCCAAGCCCTCACCTCCGCCACACTCAGCACTGCATTCACTCCAGGAGCCATGGCTCCAGCTGAAGCCAGGCCGAGGGGCATTCAGCGGCAGGTGGTACTCGTAGCGCACGCCGGGGTTGGGCTCCTGGCTGATGAGCTGCACGGGGGGGTCCTCATTGAGGCCCATAGCCCTCCTGTGGGCTTCAGGCCTAGGGCACCCACTACAATTTCCTGGGGACCAGGTACCCCCTTTACCCGAGACCTCTCCTGCCAGCCCAGCTCACCTCAATGACCAGGGGCTCTGAGGTGGGGCCACGGGCATGGAGCTGCTCGGGTGCCAGGTCCCCCTCAGTGCCCCGCTCGTAGTGCAGGATGGTACTGGCCACAGGCAGGGCTCGGGCGGCCTCGATGGTCCAGTGCCCATTGAGGTAGTACTCACCACGGATGCTCTTCACCGCTGTGCAGGGTGAGTCCCCCGTCAGCTGCCAGGGCCACCCACTTCCCTGCCACAGCCCCCAACTCTCCCAGACCCAAATTGTCCTCACCCAGGAAGTTCCTGCTGGCAGCCACCTCCTGGATATGAATGCTGGTGGCACCCATGGGAACTACAAGGATCTGATTGTAGCCTGAGGAAACAGGGAGACCATGGGACCACCCAGGTCACAGAGAAGAGTCGTCCCTTAGGGCGCTAAATGGCAGAACAGATGGGGATGGAGAAGGGCAAGTAGGAGGCAGCAGGGCTGGGTGGCTTTGGAAAGAGCGTCCCTGCAGGAGGAAATGGCTTTGCAAAGGCCTGAAAGGCAGGCAGGCTTGGGCACCCAAGCTGACTGGAGAGGGAAGGGGAGAAATGGGGACACTGGGGAAAGGGATGAGGAAGGGCATCTAGGTGACAGCAGTATGAGACTACCCTGGATGAGAGGCAGAGGTCCTAGTGTGGGCCCATGGGCTCCTGTGAGAGGGTTTGGCCTTCAGCCTGAGCCGTGATCTCAAGCCTTTTAGGCATGGCCAGATCAGACCCTCTCAGTGCCATGAGGGTGACAGCCAGAGCAAGAGACAGGCAAGGAAGGGACAGGCAACAGACCCTTGTCTCAACTGTCTGTAGACCCCACCTCTGCTGAGGTCATTGGCATCAAAGGTGCCTGTGACAGGATAGCAGGTCGTGCCGTCACCCCCACACTGCAGACACTTGTCTTCCTGCTTTGACGAATCTAGGTTGTGGTCGCAGCCGACAAGCTGCCAGGCAGAGAAGAGGGAGAGATGGGAGACATCAGAGGGAGTCATGGACACCCAGGATTCAAACCCTGGTTGCCTGACCAGGTCGAGGAGGAGCAGGAACCACGGCTGACTCTTGAACGGCACAGGTTTGAACTTCACAGGTCCACTTACACGTAGATGTTTTTCAATAAATATATTGGAAAATGTTTTGGAGACTTGCAACAATTTGAAAAAACTGTCCGATGAACTACACAGCCTAGAAATAACGAGAGTTCAGTAAACCTTGGGTCTGGCCCTTGGCTGACATCCACCTCTTTCGCCCACTCAGCACGCATCCCCGCCCCCTTCTCTAGTAACACCACTTCCTGTGGGAGTACCTCTCCTCCTATCCTGAAGATTTTGGATAAAGCTCCCCAATAATGGGTTTGCACAAATCAGTGGGCTGCACACCTTGCTCAAAGACAGTGGTTGACGGAGCCCCAAGCCAAGACAAATCAGAGGCGACCCAGGTCGCAGAAACTCCTGGGAATGGGATGCCCTTTCCTGGGGAGTCAGCAGGCTGGGAGAGCAGAAGCCTGGAGCTGCTGGTGGCATCTTCACCCCTCACAGGAAGAACCTGCCTGACCCTAATGCTGAGCCACCAGAGGAAAGCCAAAAGGCAAGGAGATTTCCAGCAGCATCATCCAGACACCTACAACCAGCCGGCCCGTCCCTCGATGGCTTTTTTCCCTTAAGTCACTTTTAGTCTGGTTTCTGTAACTTGCCACCCAAAGAATTGCTCTTATTATGGGCTAGTTTTCAAAGGGCAAATGTAGGAGGGTCACAGGGCATCTGTGATTCAAGGCACCTTAGAAGTTAATCTTGAGAAGACATCAAGTTCATGAGGGCCACTGGCCCTGCTGGTGCAGGGCAGGGAGACATCCTGCAATAAGCACCATGTCAGCACCGGGGTGGGGGTGGGGAAGGCACAACTCACCCGGCAGCTGCCATCTACACAGATATCTCGTTTGCCAGGCTCGCAGGGCGTCCCGTCTACCACGGCCTCCCTGTGCTTGTAGTAGAAGCTCTCCCCCTTGGGGATGCAGGTCAGCTCACACTTGTTTGGGGCTGGGGCAGACAAGAGGGGAAAGTTGAGATTCCAGTGAGGTTCAAGGCCTTCCCTTGCCACAGTGGAGTGTGGGCAGGGCCAGAAGCACCAAGTGGGGGGAGAAAAAGCCCTTGCAGCAGCCTGCCCCAAGTGGCTCAGAGTTCCACCCCCATCCCAGGGCGAGGAGACCAGCTCCACAAAACTACTGCATCTCTGAGGATCGAGTCAAAGAAAAATCACAGAATAAAGAAAAAGCCAGACATTGTCTCAGCGTTAGTTACAATAGCCCAAGTGTTGACATCAGCAACTCTAATTATTACCTATCAATAGAATGTTAGCATGTCGACAATGCTGTTAATTATGAACACTATACAGTAACGTGGGAAGATACTTATAACACAGAATGCAAATGGTACTGTGTCACAATTACAAATATGTAAACACATACAGAGAAAACGATGTGAAAAAGGACAGAATGAAATGCTAGCAGTGATCCCCTTTAAAATTTTTTATATTGTTTTAATTTTCATATTTATCTACTATTACATACACATTGTTTAATCAGCCCAAAAGTGGTACGGGGATTGTAATCACCTCCTCAACAAAGAAGGCATCTCTCTATGACCTTTTAACCTTTCTTCTGTGTTCCAATTTCTCTACAATATGAATATATTTAAATTATTTTCAACATATGCTCACCTCAGGACCCAGGAGGAGCAATGAATGCCAATGGCCCCCATTGGGGCCACCCCCTTGAGCCAAGACCCCCTCCCCCCACAGCGCACACAGGATATAACTGTTCAGTGACTTGGAACCCAGACTGCCAGTTTCCAGGAGTCATTTGTAGTGAGCAGTGAAAACCAATACTCAAAAGAATGATTCTAAGATATCTTGACTCATTTTAAATGTTTTAATTACATACAGCATTTTTTTTCTGGAACTGTGCTGCTCTAAAAATTAACAACCTACACCCTCCTCAAAGTTACCCAGAGCCCGCTCTCTGGCCCCCGAGATCCTGAGTATATGAACCCCTTGCCACCCAAACACAGCACTCCGTCCTCACCCAGCCTCTGTGCAGCACGAGGAGAGCTTTGCGAAGCGGGCCAAAAACCGGGCTCACAATGGCAATAGCCACAGCCATGGCTTTGAAAATGTACGGCGGGAAAGAGGACGGAGACCTGGAGGTGACCGCCACTGCTGCGTTGCAATGCGCATGCGCTGGGCGTACCGGTAACTTTTTTAAATAGATGTAATTGACAAAGCGTCTATAATACGGTAATAAGAATTGTGAAATGAAAAGTCAATGTATAAAAGAGATCCCCAAAAGATCTCTCAAAAGATCCTCAAAAGACCAGTACAATCTCTCAAAAGATCCTCAAAAGACCAGTACGATAAACTGCGGGGGCGGGGGCAGCAGGGGCGCCCAGGTAGGAGGCCACCTGCCCTTACCCCCGTAGTAGGGCAGCCACTTGTACCGCCGGCCCTGGAACTCATGGTCATCGAACTCCGAGCACTGCTCCGCCCGGAAGTCTCGGGCACCGTCGGGGCAGCTCTGCAGGGGCAGAAGGGGCAAGGGAGGGGGAGGTAGGGTCACCCCCGGGGTCTGTCCACCCCACTGGTCCCGGGGAGGTCCGGTCCTGTCCTTGACCCCTGCTGCAGCTTCAGGGGGGCGGACTGGCCCTCAGGGCCACTTTCAGACTTTGGGATGCTAGAGGGGAAGGTGTCAGAGCTGTTATTTCTGTGATTTTCTGAGGGCTGAGGAAGGGGTTCCCCAGGCAGCGCTGGCTGCGCACTGACAGGAGGGCTCTCTGGGGCCCGGATGTCAGCTGAGTAGGGGGGTCTGGAAAGTTGGTCTCCCCTCCCCACATGGGCTTTACCTCCGTGTGACAAGACCGGTGGCTTCGGGTAGGGCCCACGCAGCTGGAGCCCCCATCTCTCCTGTGGGACAAGAGGACCAGAAAGCCCCAATCCCTGCAACCCAATACCCCCACCCCCTCCTGGGGCTCTCCCAAAGGCCCCCCAGCCTCTGTGGGACTCCCCAGTGGGGTAGAGAGGTGGCAAGGCAATGTGGGGGGTGCCCTTAGGTAGGTGCAGTGAGCCCCATGTTTGTACTTAGGAGAAGGAGACTCAGATGCCTAACTATCCTGGAGTTTGTCTAAATTAGGGCCACTCTGCCTCTGAAGGCAAATTTCCAGAGAAGCCCCAAATTCTGCCCATGGAAATAAAATAAGGTGTAATATATACATGGTAAGATTATTCTGCCATTTAAGGAGAAAATGACTACAAGGCACTTAGAATAATATCTCACCTCTTTCTCGTCACAAGGTTCTCAGGAACAGTGATTTAAACCCACTGACAGGTAAGGTGTCATCACCCCTTCTTTTGTGCCCACCCCTCTACAGCACCTATCAGAGTGTGGTGTACAGAGTGGGTCTTAAGTCACTTGAAGCGGGAAATATCTATACTTGAGAAAGGGGCTGAAGGTAGAGAAACTGCATAGGTTAGCATTGCTGAAGATTATTAATTCAACAAGAATTTATTGCACCTGCCATATGCCCGCACTGTGTTAAGAGTTAGAGACTCAGGGGTAGGTGGAGCAGGCATGGCTCCAGCTCCTCCAAAATAAGTCTGATTGTTGGAATCAATCGAGTGTAAAATACATGGGAAATGACTCGATTTCAAATACTCCGTGCTGCTTCCAGAATAAATCTATTGGGTGGTAGGTTCTGCCTGTGTGACCCAGCGCTGGCCTAGAACATCCAGCCCAGAAGTCTGCTCTTCTAACAAGCTGACCCATTCTAGCCTCCCCTACCTCTGCGAGTAGCAGGGGCGCTCCCGGAAGCTGACGCCCACTCCGCAGGTCCGGCTGCAGGGGCTCCAATCACCCCAGGAGCCCCACGTGTCACTCTGCCGCTTCATCTTGGGAGCCTGGAGGAGAAGACACACTCAGAAACCTGAGTCAGGACTCGGAGCCGCCACTCAGAGTCTGACCCAAGGCTCCTGCCTACAAACAACACTCCCCGCCTATCTGGGAGTCTGAGGCAGTCTCTCCTAGAGTCAGCCCCTTAGGAGTTGGCAGCACCACCAGCACCCTGAACATGTACATTTATGGAATCAGCCAGCTTTCATCTAAGGAGCTGAAGTCAGGCCTTTGCCTCTGTCAAAGTAGCCACCACCAGCAACTCCAGCTCTTTGCCAGGCACAGTGGGGAAATCGCCCCCGTGACGATGCTATCCCCTGGCCTGTACAGAGTCTGGTCTGCAAACATCCCCCTGCATGGGAGCCCCTGGGCCACCAGAGCAGGCCCTTCCAGGAGGGAGATATAAAAAGCCACCGAGGACAGGGTGGGTTGCCAGGTAGGCAGGGCTCCACCCATGCAGGGAATGTCTCCCCCAGGCAGTGCCATGCTTAGCCAGGGTCTAGAGTGAAAAAGCCACACCAACCCTTATTGCACCCGCTTCTTCCTCATGTGGTGACCTCGCTTCTAGAAGTTTCTGTGGCTCTGGCCTATTAAAATAAGAAGTTAATCTAATCCTATGTGTTTGTGGTGGGGGGGATGGAGGGGATGCGGGGGGGTGAGAGAAGGTCATGGTTTCTTCCTGCCAGCCTCCAGGAATCTCCTTAAGACATAGTTTGCATGTGCATTTGTCCTTTTTCTTCTTCCTGTACTTGGCCCTGTTGGTTAAAAAGCAGATGTGATGGCTGGAGCTGAAGCAGCCTTATAGACTATAAGGTAATTTAGGAAGAGGCTTCAAATGGTGAAGCAAAGATAGAAGGATTCTAGACCTAGAGGACTTTGTGAGACTGAACATACTTGGACTTCTGACCTCTGGGTGTTTAAGTGAGAAAGGGACCAAGTCTCTCTTGTTGAAGAACTGTTATTTAGGACTCCATAGCAGGAATTCTAATGGATACAGTTTCCCACCGGAAAGATCTGACACCTTGCAGCTGACATCAGAAGTCCATATGCTACACACATTCTCTCATTTACTCCTCAGAGCAACCTGACATCTGAGTTCACACACGGAAGAGGAGCAGGGAGAAGCCTACGCAGGTGTTTAGAAGGCACCTAATAGGACCCAGGGCACTTTGAGAACTTTGACTATTTCATCTGCACGGCAAACTGTGGGTGGGTGTTATTACCCCAGTGCATAGATTAAACAAAAAAAAAGGCGAGGCAGAGAGGGAGCCACATAGGAACAAGTGGACACAACAGTAGGTCAGCTTCCCACCCCGGCCTTTGCTCCCACCCACCTCAGTGGGGGAACTAAGTGAGACACTGATGAGTCCTAAGGAGCTGGACAGGTGTTAGACTTGACCTCACTGTTAGACTTGACCTCACTGTTTTGCCAGGAAACAGAAGGTGTACTGGAAATATGTCCTATTTGCTGGAAGGGGGCTTTATTTTAGGGGATCACCATGTAAGAATTTCTAGGGGAAAAAAAATCATTCCCCTTTTCCAGATTAAAAACTCAAGTCCTAATGTGGGAAAGCAAGCGCTTCCTCCCTCTGTGAGCCTCCAGCGACTTCACTTCACAGGGCCTCAAGGTGAGGACCGGTTTAGGCACCGGCAGATCACTCACAGCTCAGCTCTAACACTTCTGATACCAAACACCTAGTTATTCTTGCTTTATAATAGAGCTAGAACCCTGATTCAGAGCAAATCACACTAAATTTGCTGAACCCCATACAAAACCAGGACGGAAGGGCTGGCCAGATCAAAGGTCTCAGCTTTCACTCTTCAAATCATTTATCCTTCAGTTCTAACTGAGACAAAATGGCCAAGCTCTTGAAAACCAGTGAACCAGAATATCAAAGTGTTCTCTTAATGATATTTAAACTGAAATTTACTTGATCAAGTTCTCATTTAAAAGGGGAAGATATTGAGTGTTGGGGGTGGAGAGCGACTTTCCAGGGCTGGCCAGCAACCCCCCAACACACACAGCCTCATCACCGCGTTAGAAGAATTCTGGAAACGGCCGCGGGGCATGTCATTTTCTCATTCTGCCAGTCCTGGTCTAGTTACTCATTACCACCGACCAAGGCCTATTGCGATATCATTCTTGCTTCTGAACCACAGCCACTGAGCCTCCCCAGTCCACCCTTCCCCAGGCAGGCTTGGCTAACTGGTGTGGATGAGGCAACAAAGGGCACCCTGTCACCTAGCCATCTTGCGATGGGCAGGATGGGGTGGGAGGAGGACTGGCCTGAACACAGGGCCTTCTAAGTACCAAGTCTTACAAATGTGAGGCAGGCATCCACTTGCCTAGGGCCACCAGCAGGCAGGATTGAGGCACCTGGCTTGCCAGATCCTAGAACTGTGCCCTGTCCACTACTCCACACTGTCCCTCCGAGGAAAGAAAGCACATTCAGCCACAAGCGGCACAGGCACGTTTTGTTTTTCTATAATTACCCAAACCACGAGCTGATGGTGAGGCCAGAATGAGCTGGTCCAGTCCGCCCGCACCCTGGCCTGTCCTCACCTGCCTCCTGCTGCGCTCGGCACCCCACCTACTCCTGCAACTCCTGCCTGGCGCTACTCAGGAGCCCCCTTACCTGTTGCGCTATTCCCAAGGGGATCCGCTGCCCAAAGTGCTCAGGTGTCAGTGTGTGCAGATCAGGGGACTGGAAGTCCATTGCCTCAGGAGGCCTCCCCTTGACCAGCTGGGGGGTGGGGGCAGCGAGGAGGGCATGGTGGCAGAGCGGCATCTCTGCTTTACTCTTCCCTAATCCTCTACTCGCTCTGCACAACCTGACCCCCGTCAGCACTAGAAGAGCAGAGAAGTGCTGGGGGTTCCCACCATAGGCCTTGTCCCAGCTAGAACCAGAAACAGGGAGCTGAGCTGTGAGCCGGGCCACACCCTCCCCCAGACAGTGGGGGAGGGGCGGGAGTTTCCAGTGGGGCAGGCCCACTGCTGGAGAGCAGGTGGGAGAGGGCTACTCAAGTGTTTCTAAGGGAAAAAGTACTACAAGTAGCCAGGGCATTTGTGGACCTTGACTCATTTCATTGGCATGGCAACCTGTGGCTGGGCATCATTACCCCGAGTTAACAGAGTCCACAGCCAGGTAATTTGTTTAGGGTCACGCAGCTGTTAGGAGGTGGCTCTGGGTTCCATCCTGGGGTCTTCACACTGGCGCCGTGGCCCCTTCACCTGAGGTGTGGCCTTCATGCAGCCAGTCACCAAGAGGAAGCCCGCACCGAAGACCACAGATGTGGCATTTAGGGAGCAAGGACCGTGGAGCGGCAGTGGTGACTGTGGGAAGCTGGCAGGTGGTGGAGGGGACATGAGGAAGGAGGGCTCTAGCCCACCCACTGCTCTGACTGCAGCCCGTGCGGGTCGCTGGGGCCTTGGTGGACGCCCGCTGCCCGCCGCTGGTGTCCACCCTGCCTGGCCCTTGCAGCTCTTCTTACACTTCCACAGAGGGGGGCATTTCCTCAGCCCTCCCCAAGGCAGCACGGTCTGGGTCCCTTCTCTCTCACCCGCCTGCCTCACAGAAGCCTGGGCCAGGCTGTGTCTGCCCTGTGGAGAGCCCTCCAGGCGTGGGGTGGGGTCTGGCTGCCTCTGAACCTGCTGTCCTGCCCAATGCCAGAATCTGGCGGGAGCAGCTTCCAGGACCAACTCCAGCTCTGCAGACTCTGCCCTGCCTCCAAAGGTAGGTCCTGCAGTCTAGGACTCTATTTTCTCAGGAACCATGTGTGTTCTCCAGGGAGCTCTTTCCTATGCGACTCCTGTTAATGAAACAGCTGCTCTGATCACCACTTGGCTTCTTGTGTCCTCTCTCTAAATTTGCACTAATGTGGTAGCCACGAGCCACATGTGGCTATTTCATTAAAATGAAGTCAAATAAAAAATTCAGTTCCTCAGTTACAGTAGCCAGCCACATTTCGTGTGCTCAGTAGCCACGTGAACACCATGACTATCTTACTGGACAGCACAGATACACTTCCATCATCTCAGAAAGTTCTACTGACAGCCCTGCTCCAGATGCTAATCCCAACGGGGGCGGGGAATGGCTAGCACCCCAAACCTCTAGGCCTAAGCAGCTGAGGGGCAGGAGTTTGGTTCCAGGCAGGTGGCAGGCATCTGGTGGGATGAGCCAGTAGCCCTGCACCTTGTCTGGTGCCAGCAGGGCCCTCTCCCTCCCTTCCACCTTGGAAGACCACCCCAGGAGGAGGTCCCAGCATTAACGTGGCCCCAGCACCTTCGGAAGGAGGAGGACACCAGAAAGTTGCCTTTCCAGCAAACTGCGCCCCTGCAGCCAGGCTGGCAGTCCTGGGCACCTTGACCAGATGGCTTCCTGGTCCCACCTCTTTTTGAAGGGGCTCTGCTGAGGGTTCGCCTCCTCCCCACCCCACTCTCCCCGACCTTGGCCCTCTCTTAGGGTTGTCGCCACCACCAGGAGTGGGGGCGGGGTGAGCTCCAGGAAGCACGGAGCGGACCCTCCACAGTCCTCAGCCTTGGGCGACCTTCCCGCCGAGGCCCTCGCTCTCGCTTCCCAAGCAATGTTGTCCCAGGGCCGGGCAGGGCTGCACTCACCGAGGACCCAGGTGCCGGGGCCAGCAGCAGAGACAAGAGCAGGAACAGCTGCATCTCCGCCTGCGGGAGAGGCCGGGGTTTGAGAGAGCAGGGCAGCCCAGACGCCGCCCCTCCACTAGCCGGGGACTAGGTCCGCGATCTTGAGCGCGGAGTCGTGTCCCTCACTCTCTGCTGCCTGCTTGAGCGCGGAGTCGTGTCCCTCACTCTCTGCTGCCCGCAGGTGACCCTGAGACCCACAGAGGGACAGGACAGGAGGGAGGTGACCCTGAGACCCACAGAGGGACAGAGGGACAGGACAGGAGGGGACATCGGTGCGGCACAGCAGAGCACGGGCCGCGCCACTCACAAGGGAGGGGAAAAGACCCGTCTACGACTGGCTTCTAAAAGCTCAAGAGCAGCTTCTTTCAGGGTTTCAGAGGGGAAAAAAAGAGGACAATTAAAAACACTTCCTCGTTGTGAGACTGGGAGTTCACAATTAAAGCAATCAGACTCACTGTTTTAACTCAGCAAGAGATGCTTTTTAAAAAGCCATTACACCAGTTGTTTAAAAACTCGTTAATATAGATTTTTTTAAAAAAAGTCTCTGAGGGCACTTTTAATCCTGAACTTAAATGCTTTAAAAATGTGAATTGTATCCTACTTTAAACTCAAGCCAGTGTTTCTCTGTACTAGGGAAGCTTCATAGCAGACTCCTCAAGCAGTGCGTGTGTACATACAGTGTGTGCACGTGCGCGGGGTACTGTGCGTGTGTACAGAGCGCCTTGTGGAGTTCAGTGTGAGCATGCATGTAACGTGTGCGCGTGCACTGCGCACGTCCAGCGTGTCAGGGTGCAGCCTGGTGAGTGTGTTCCGCCTGTGTGTACATGTCACTGCACTGGAGAATGACATAAGCAATGTGCCCCGTTCGGTACAAAACATTAAACAAGTACTGACTTGTATGCTTCAATTTTAAAATCTGAAACTCTACCAATGTTCTCTTTAAAATTGTAAAACATAACATGACTTCAATTTATAAGGATAAAACAGCGAACATGAGCCAACGTCAGCGAAATTTAAGCTAGCACATTTAACGACGTTACATGCTCCGTTAATTTAGCACTAGTGATTCTTTTAGTCATTCTTTTCGCAGTCAAATTGGAGGTTCGTGGGGCTGGTGGGGGGGAGGCGGGTGGCGGGCTGCTTCCTCCCAGGCCCCTGCTCTCGCACCTCCAGTAATTACAGCCGCGTGCGGGATGGGAGGCGGTGTTACTAAAGGAGCCTCGTTCTAGGGTTAAGACGATGGGCGACAGGTGATGCTTCTCTAAAGAAATTGTCCTTAGGGGCGGGGTAAGCAGAGCGAAGAGCTAGACTGAAGGAAGGACGGGAGAAAAGGACTTAATTGCTACTAGGGACGCCTTAGCGTGAGGGCTTGCCCGGGGCTCGCGTCTAGGGTCCCCGCGCGTTGCAGCCCCGCACCTTCCCAGGCGGACGCGGGAAGCGAACCCCTCCTCCATCCGCCTCCGCACGCAAGGATTTTCCCCGCGTCTGCCCGCCCGGAGGAGGCGCCCCACGGGTCGGCGCCACTGCCCCCCAGCCCCGGGGACCTCGCTCGGTGCAGTCCCCAAAGGCGGCAAGGTGCCGCTTGCGACTTGAGGGGCAGGGGTGCCTGGGCAGGTGTGAGCCCCGGCGTAGGACCTGGGACTCAGGCGACCCCGGTCCCATCCCCAGCGGCACCTCGGGGGAGGGGCGCGCGCCGTCTCGGGGTCTCGCGCCTGAGCAGCGCGCTGGGAACAGCGTCCGAGAAGGAACCGGAGGAGGCAGGGGTTGGGGGGCGCCAGTGTTCCTCCCGGCTGCCCAGCACCCGCCTATGCGGCTCCCAGCGGCTCCTTCCCGCGCGCTCTGGCAAGTGGTGGCCCCGCGCTGCGCCCACCTCCGCGGACAAGGCGAGGGTCTCGTCTGGGAGGTCCCCCTCTTCCTCGACGCCGCTCTCCGTGGAAGCCAGGCGGGTAGATTCCTGCGGCAGCCAGAGAATGAGCCGCCCTCGCCTCCGGGGTCCTCCGCCTGCCTACCTGGCTACAGGAGTGGCTGGGCGCACGGGTCTGGCAGGGCTGCTCCGTTGGTACCCGCCCCAGCCCCAGCCCGAGAAGTTGGCTGGCCGCGCGGAACGCCTGTGGAGGTTGGACTTTCCTTGGGGCTGGCTGGCTTCTTCCCGCCCCATCTCCTCCCACCCCACCCTGCTGACAACCATTCCCAATCCCAGTGGGAGGACATGCCCACGTGGAGAGGCCCCTGCGGTGACCAGCGATGCCCAAGGCCTCCTTCCTCCTGAGTCTGAGCCAAGCCTTGGCTTGTCCTCCACTCTGCAGGACCTGGCGTTTCCTCTCTTGGACCAGCACGTGTCATCTGTCCAGTCCCATTTCCTCTGTGCCCAAGGCTTCCAGTTCGGTGTCATTCCCCCTCTACGCCCTCCTTACATAGAATACACCTCTGTGTTCAGCCCCTGCTTGTCTTCCACCCCAGAATTCTATACTTAGACCACTAGTGAGTTTCTCCACACACATGCTGCTGTCTCGACCCCACTCTCCACCCCGCCCCCCAATACATCGCCCGCTTTCCCCACTGCCTGGAACCACTCCGGAAACCTTTCCTACCATATAAAGGGCTACCCATCCCTCAAGACCCTGGTCACATGTCACCTTGTCTAGAAGCCTCGTGCACACCACAGCAAGCAGAGTGGGTGCCTCCCTGCTCCCTCAGTCTCTAAGGCTGTCTGTTGTAGCTCTATAGTACATCGCACTGTGGCAATCTGAGTCTCCCTGACTCAGCTGTGATGGCCGGAAGGCAAAGCTTGCATCCGCATCACCTGTGCCTAGGGCACTAGTTGGGATCAAAGCAGAAGCTCAATAAATGTAATAAATTTTTTCCCCTTTTTTAGTTGTGCTGCTTTTTCTAAAAGAAAGTACACCTTTGCTATCCCTTTTTTGGAACTGGAAATCACCCATCCAGGAAAATAGCACTGGCCCTTTAACCCCATCCTCTTCTGCCTTCAGGCCTTTGCCTACCCTGGCCATTGGTCATTTCTCCCCGGCCTCCAATGGGGCAGAAAAAAATCACCAGCTCACGCCTCTTCATACCTCAGCTCCTGTATGCTATCTCCTTGGGCTGTCACTGATTGATGCTCAGAAAAAAAAAAAAATGCTATTAAAACATAAGCATTTTAAATCTGGCTCATTTCTTACTTATCAATGGAGAGAGAAGCAGCAGCTGTGTTGCAAGGGGCCCCTGGGGACTTGTGTGAATTCTTAGACAAAGATAAAGCTTGGCAAAGAAAAGGAAGTGGAATTACCCAAAGCCTCTCTAGAAAAGGAAAACAGTTTCTTCCATTCAAAAAGCCCAGCTCTCTGCCCCCATCAGCCAGGAATTTTCTGAGCTTGGTCAAAGGTCTCCTGTAAAGTGGGAGGAAGCTGCTTCTCCTGCTGAGGGGGGTGGGCAGTGAGGCACCTTCCTGATTTGCTCCTGTTTTTCCTCTAAGATCCCTTCCTTGACACCCGGGCTCATGATTTCTTACTCTCCATCCAGCTGCAAAGAAGACCCAGCGGATGGGGAAGCTGAGCCCACACACAGTGTTTGTTAGGGGACAGCCTTGGACCCATCAGCTGGGCTCTAGCAGTTTCTGGCCTGGGCAAGTACTTCAAGTCAAACCTTACATCCTGCTACCTCAGAGGGATGTTGTGAGCATGTGCCCAGTACATAATAGTTGTTTACCAACATAATAGTTGTTTACCAAAAACAACTATTTGCACAATTGGTATGCACACACAAAAAATAGTGCTTTAGAAAGAAGATTCCAGGAAAAAGAGTAAGACCATCCCTCCCATTGTATCTCTCCCTCTGCACTGGCTGCATAAGACTCCCTTTCACCTGCGGGGTGAGGTAGCCTAATGGGGCAGGAGTACAGCCCTGGGAGGCAGACAGACTTGGGTTGGGAACTTGATCTACCACTCATTGTGTGTGAACTTGGCCAAGTCTTGTCACCTCAAGTCTCAACAGGCTCACTTGAGCCTCACTTGACAATGGTGGAGTAGAAAAGTAACTGGCTTCTGTAGAGCTACTAGGTACTCAATAAAAATTCCTTCTGCTCCATGCTCCCTCCACCTGTATCCTAGATTCCCTGCTTCTTGATCAGCTCTGCAGATTGCAGATCCAGGAGCATGGCCGAGAAGTAAGTGGCTAGATCTCTTTGTGTGGTTGGGTTGGGTTGGGTAGGAAAGCTGGAGAGAAGAGGGAGAGGGAAGAATCCCAAGACCCTCAGGGCTTATGGGACACACCTCCTCCAGGAAGCCTCCCCCACACTCACCTCTGTATACTTGCAAACTATTGCAGTGATATATTTGCCTCTCTTTCTCCCCTAAATTGCAGACTTTGCAAGGACAGGGATCTCCTTCATCACTGTACCTTGTACCAGAGGTTTATGGCCATCCTGAAAGTGCCCCTCAAGAGAGTGTAATGTGGGAAGCATGGCTGATTGACAGCTGTCACACTTCAGGTCTACACTGATTCCTGAAGGCTCTCCTTGCTGCTACTCCCATTTATCTTCCTGGCATTTCCCCCAATTGATCTCTGCACATCTAACCTGACCTGACACACTGATCGCAAACCACAGAAAAGTATTTCATTAACCGAAACAGAAGAGTAGCTTAGAGGAAGGGCAATGGGAGCTCATAGAATTGACAGGAAGCTGGAGAATCAGGCACAGAAATGGGCTGGAACCCTGGCCAAGGTCTAGTTCATGGTCCAGGAACATTTCTGGTCAGGACCTATCCTGTTGGACACCAGACTACTGGCACCAGCACTCTTAGGCAACATTGACCCATGCCACCCCCAGAAAAAGCCCTGAATGGTACCCATGCCCTGACTGCCAGGACCTGAGAAATGAGAATTGGCAGCTTCCCCATATGGGGGGCTACCCCAGAGAACAGGTGTCCACTCTCTCCCTGCAGCACCTAGCACACAGTATTTGTTGAACTGAACTTAGAAAATGCTGTGTCTCTTCATTTTTTTGCTGGTTGTTATTC